TTGGTGGGTGCTAAAGACTGCAGATGCAGCCGGGACCAACGGCTTAACGTGCCTTCCGAAGCACGGAGGAGCTCGAGATAGTAGATTTTTGGTCACCCATCCAATGACCGACCACTGCGAAAGTTGCGTAACTTCAATGATCGCAGCCGATTGCGCTAATCACTTGCGCCATCGAGCTTCTCGATACGGGCATAGTAGACAAAAAAGCATTTTATTTTTATAATTAGCTAAGGCATGACCATAACTATGATCTCTCTAACCTCCCCCCCCTGATTTTGATTGGGTGGTTTTGATGTGAAGATATTTGGTGCAACAGTTATGAACCAAACCACCAGTGTCCTCACTTTTTCAGCCCGCGCAAATGAATCTTCTTTTTTAAAGACCCCGATTTATTTATTTCATAATTATTTTTTTACCAAGCTGCCGAAATTCACATTAATTTATCTATGCCAAGAATCTTTAGGTACCTACATACATTATTTTTCACAGTTTACTCGCGCGCAGTTGCGCTGTAAACATTTCCAACAACAGTGTGACGTCACTGTCCACCACTACCCTTGACGTTGAGTCAGGTCGACCCGGATTGCATTCACGAGTCGTTAGCGGAGGCGCTGCAATTATGTACGTTCTCAGAACCAGCGCAGTTGACTCGTAAACAACATGTTTTTCCATTTCATCGGAGTTCATGTCATGTCTCGTCTGCATGATGTCTACTACGTTTCGCGCGGTAATTAAGTCGCCAAAGAACATCATAATATTTTCTACCTTTACAGTCGGGTATTTAAAATTTGAAAACTTGGGGTAAACATTAAATACGTACGTTGAAAAATAGAATACGCTGTTCCTTTGCTGGAAGAGAGTGAAATTTTGGTGACAACTGTTTACTCGCCATATTCAAAAAGTACACTAAACTGGGCCATAAAATGCGATTCAACTAAGAATAGGACCGACTGGGCGCCATATTGTGGCATCATAGCTGTCAATTCAAACCAATTAGGTAGAATAAGCAAAAAAGTTTTAATCTAAAGAAAATATAACTAGAAAAAAATTCCACGCGGACCAGGCAGCAGACGGGACTCGAACCCGCACCCTTCGCAATCCGGGCGAATGCACTGACCAATTATGCTACCACGGCCCTCACGGATCGCGTCGAAATTCTTTCTAGCTATTCTTAAGCTGCAAGGCAGCGCCATCTCTTCGCATTATAGGTAAACCCACAATGTCAAATGAATACTTTTACAAGTATTAAACATTTGAAAGAAGAAATAGCAATTATAGTTATAATTTTTATTATTTTTAAAGCATGTAACTGCTTGATGTTTAAATCTAAAGAAAATATAACTAGAAAAAAATTCCACGCGGACCAGGCAGCAGACGGGACTCGAACCCGCACCGCATGCGAAGAGATGGCGCTGCCTTGCAGCTTAAGAATAGCTAGAAAGAATTTCGACGCGATCCGTGAGGGCCGCGGTAGCATAATTGGTCAGTGCATTCGCCCGGATTGCGAAGGGTGCGGGTTCGAGTCCCGTCTGCTGCCTGGTCCGCGTGGAATTTTTTTCTAGTTATATTTTCTTTAGATTTAAACATCAAGCAGTTACATGATTTAAAAATAATAAAAATTATAACTATAATTGCTATTTCTTCTTTCAAATGTTTAATACTTGTAAAAGTATTCATTTGACATTGTGGGTTTACCTATAATGCGAAGAGATGGCGCTGCCTTGCAGCTTAAGAATAGCTAGAAAGAATTTCGACGCGATCCGTGAGGGCCGCGGTAGCATAATTGGTCAGTGCATTCGCCCGGATTGCGAAGGGTGCGGGTTCGAGTCCCGTCTGCTGCCTGGTCCGCGTGGAATTTTTTTCTAGTTATATTTTCTTTAGATTTAAACATCAAGCAGTTACATGCTTTAAAAATAATAAAAAATATAAAAAAGTTTTACTTTAATAAAATTTATTTACCAAGATTAAGTGATAAAATATATCAGATTTTTATTAATATTTATTTATTAAGATTGAGTGAGAAAAAACATTAATCAAAATCTGTCTCTTCAATATAGCTCATCTCTGTACTACTGACGGAGTACTCATTATCATCACTGATGCTTTCGGCTATAAAATTAAAATATCTATTATTGTAGGTTTTAAAACGACAACTTTATTTAAAATAAAAACGGTCTTTTTACCTGTAAATATTTATAATAAAACTAAAGGGTCAGTCCGCGGTAATCGATACCAGATAACCAAATAAATTATTTACTCAAACAATCACTAATATATAAAATATCTGGGCTATTAATCATCAATTTTCATAAACCGAAAGAAAAATCCGATTTTTTTTACCAAATTTTCATGATATTTTCGTTCAAACATAGACAACTTAAAGCTGGAACTGGTAGTAAAAAATAATACGAAAATGGCGACACTTTTTTATATGTCACTTAAACTGACAGCCCGCCATTTTCTGTTGTCACTGATTGCAAGAGAAGTTATTTGTTTGCTGCGAAAAATTGGATTGCTTCAGGTAATTACCAATAATTTTACTTTACGATTAATGTTGAGCAAGTATTTGTGTCACACCCGACACAAAATACATAGAAAAGTTATGATTGCATAAGCTATACCAGCTAAAATGTTGTACCGTTTTGTGAAAGTAAGGTTATTTGAGGGGGCAAAGGGTGGAAATAGTTTTGATGTTTACAAAATGGCTTCACTTTGATATATAAGCTTTTATTTATTAATCACGCCCGTCACACGTCACACCCGTCACAAACTTGGGCAAAATGTCTCAAAGACAAAGATGAGGAAGAATGAAAATTTTAAACACAGCCAATAAAACGTGCCATTACAATATAGAGAATGAACAAGAGGATGAGGAGGAAAAGACAAATCAGGAATACATAAATAGGGACGACACTGACCCAGGAGAAGGAAGCAGTGTTGCACTTAAACCCCAGTACAACAGTGGTGACTTTGTCTTGGTAAAAATTCCTGGAAAAAAAAATTGAATACCGTTATGTGGGTATTGTGGACAATATAGATGACGAAGAAGGTGAAATTAGAATCACTTACTTAAGATTACATGACGATCATGGCAAACTATTTAAAGTAGCTGAAAATGACATATCAGATGTCACATTTGACCAAATTAAAAATAAGTTACCCACACCCACATTGGTAACTAAAGGTAATCGCATTTACTTCAAATTTAATGAGTCTGTTGATGTTTTTGAACAATAGTTGTTATAAGTGGTTTATGTTACCAGCAAACAATAAAAGAAGTTGATTTTATTTTAATTTTGTCCTTTTTATTCAACTTGTCACACCTGTCACAGTCTCATGTCACGCCCGTCACAATGTTGGTAGAGTAACAAGTAAATAAATTAATTAAGTATTTACCAGATTCAAGTGTAATACAAAAGCGAATTTATTGAGCATCTTAAAAATATTATTGATTTTTTAATAAGCTCAATAATTTAGCTAAACCATCGACATTTCTAACAGAGGTGTCAAGTCACGCAATAGTTGGGGTCACACCCGACAGAGGTTTTTAAATAACTATATCTATATTTCTAATAGCCCTAAAAATTTTATTCTGGCAATATATTTAAATTACATTAAGTCTACGGGTTAATGGTATAACTCTAGGTAAAAAGTAGTTTTATTCAAAAGTTATTTCTCAAAACAAAAGTTGAAATGTCACATCCGTCACCGCGGACTGACCCTAAAGTTTTTCCAGTACTCATTTTCTAAACGTTTCATATGTATGATTTATTTCCTTCTTTTGTTTACAAATGTTTGGTATTTATTCTAAGATTAGCTTAGTGCTAAAAAAAAGTAACCCAAGTTTTTTTTGCAAACCGTACTTTTCAAGCGATATTTGACAGATGGAGGTTACCTATTCTTATTTGAAACGCATAGTACTTGGTTAATTTGTTGCACCTCGTATAAAAGAGTAAAGTACGCTACCAATGGCCAGTTGCTTCAATCTATAAATGTTTAGTGTCACCCTTATCATAATTTCCCACTGTAAAATGAATTGATATAATTGTGTAAGATATATTTTGTTGCATACATTTTGCAGCTTTTTTTTTATGGCCAGTAAGGGCTTCATGAAAATATGCACTATGCTATAGATATGGTATATTATTTAAGAATGAGGGACATACAACTTTTTATTTTTACGACATTATTCAATAGTCAATCGTTTATTGCAAACTAAGTGTACATTAGCTGGCAAATTACAATATGAGCACTTACAAACTTAGTCGCCCTTTTCGGACACATCAAATTGTTAGAGGGCTTATTTAATAAAGTGAATAAAAATTAACAAATCAAATCCCATAAAAATATCAAATCGTCATTTGATTCTATTTTATTAGATTAAAAAATTGTTGAAAAAATATTAACAGGTTGTTAAGGGGGCGTCCATAAATTACGTAATCAAATATCATTTTTTTTTTGTAATTGAAACGAAAAAAATATTATAATATTTTGGTCCATTTAATCCAGATTGTACACATGCTTAAGATTTAATCTTAAGCGTAATCGTAATACGATTAAGATCATTCACTATAACTAGTCGTAAATAAAAGCACGAAGCATTTTTTTTTCTTTTTACAATAACAATCCAAAGCGTTTACGTAAGAAATCCAATTTTTGAAAAATCTCATGTGGGATGATCCTTTCCCCCATCCCTCAAGGATGGCGGAGGGGGTTGAATAAAATCACACGACATCTCACCAGGGGGGGAGGGAGTGATAGAAAAATCAAAAAAACACCTCATGTAATTTTATGGACGCCCCCTAATTATGTATTCATTAATAGAATAAAAACATTGTGTAATAAGGTAATCCTGTGACTTTTTTGAAATGCTTTTAGAGTTTGAAGATTTTTAATTTCCGCCGGTAATTTGTTAAATATTTTTAGGCAAACATTGAGCATAAATGTTTATACTTTAGTTATATACCATCATAATAATAAATTATATGTTTGTATTTCAGAGCACGTGTGGCAAGTGAACGTCCAGAAGAAAGGTCTCGGCGCCTCGAAGAACATCCAGGGGCTGTACAACCTGTGCCTGACGGACAAGACCATCACCCTGGTGAAGATCAAGAGCCACAACAACGTCATCAGCGACCTCGGCATTCCGGAGAAGATCGAGTACTCGCTCAAGAATATTAGAAGGTAAACAAAAATGCTAATGCTTAAGGAGGTCGACGACGCAAGTGGTTAGACCGTTCGACTGCGATCGTTGAAGTTAAGCAACTTTCGCAGTGGTCGTTCATTGGATGGGTGACCAAAAATTTACTATCTTGAGCTCCTCCTAAGCCGTTGGCCCCAGCTGCATCTACAGTCGTTAGCACCCACCAATCCGCACTGGGCCCGCGTGGGTTGGTCAGTGCCCAATCTCCCTACTATTTCCTGTGCCTCAGCAGTGGGGGCATTAATGGTGATGAAACAAAAATGCTCAGGCAATGTCCTACCGCCGGCGAGAAAGCGATTTGCTATCGAGTACGTCTGAAGGAACGAACAAAAGATATAGATCTCGTGGAGATAAAAGATACACATTATTTGTTTCTTAGGTTTTGCACGCACATCACTCATTAAATAAAACTAGTTTTAACGGGTTAATGCACGAAACTTTATTTATTTATTGACGTTTCGCAGCCTCTTTAGGTCTGCTTCGTCAGAACACTCATTTTTTATTTAATTTAATTGAAGGTAGCTTGACAAAATTAAATAAAGAAGCAGCCCTGAAAAGGCTGCAAAACGTCAATAAATAAATAAAGTTTCGTGCATTAACCCGTTAAAACTAGTTTTATTTAGAGACACATCATATTAATAGTTGATGAGTAGCAGCTCTACCTTTAGCGAGAACCAGTATCGAATTCAAATATGTAGTTGAATTCGATTTCGATATGCGTCAAATGTTAAGAAATTATGTGTGCGAAGCGTTTGGCATCAGTAGTTAAATAATGTTTAAAAAATGATTCAAAATTAGTTTGCCATGTATCTTCGTTTATGCTGGCATTTGAATATTCGTGTTTGCAATTTGTAAACTTGGCATCGGTCTATCCTTTTCATTCCTTAAAAAGCTGGGTAACGACAGACTGTTCCCAAGTTTACAAATAGCCAAGGGAACAAGGGCGGATCCAGCTTTGAGCTAGAGAGACAGAGACAGAGAGAGAGAGAGACAGAGAGAGAGAGAGAGACAGAGAGAGACAGAGACAGAGACAGAGAGAGAGAGACAGAGAGAGAGAGACAGAGAGAGAGAGAGAGAGACAGAGAGAGAGAGAGAGAGAATCATTTTTATTTACCACATTAATAAATTTACAAAGCAACATACAAAAAAAAAAGAAAATATACATGATGGAGTAAAGAAAAAAAATATAGTACCATTTGTGTCTCAGGACCAGGACCCTGCCTCAGCGTTATGCTGCCGCAGCACGCTATAAAACGTGTCACAGCAGCGCTGGTATTCTGGCAGGGCCTGTTATGCCGGAACTTCACATGGCCAATCGCATCCGCCTCGATAGCAGTCCCTTCCTCTCACTGCCCGTTTTGGATACACATCCACCAAATAGCAAACACGATTAGCCACATGACGTGCCGGCACAAGGTGCGAAAGAATGCACTTTCTATAATGGGGCCCCTATGACTTCCGTTTTGTGATTAACCAGGAACTAGGGACTTTGCATTTGATCTGAGGGGGCCTCCTATCCCTCACTGGGAAAGACGGGTCTGGTGCTGCCATTATTTTGACGACCTCCGTGGTCGAGTGGTTTGTACGCCGGGTTTCATGGTGTTGCCGACTCGAGAGGTCCCGGGTTCGAATCCCGGTAGGGGCAGATGTTTATACGAGCCGAGATGTGATGAATACGAGCATAATTGCTCCATTCATGGATGTTTAATATGTATTTCTATATAAATATACTTATATTATGTACAGTATATGTATTCTATCCGTTACCCTAGTATCCCGTAACACAAGCCTTACAGTGCTTACTTTGGGGCTAGACTAATTGGTGTGAGTGTTGGAAATATTAATTTATTATTTATATTTATTAGTGCGTATGCTCGCTTTCATAATGTAATGATATTGTAAAGTTAAGTTGCTACTTTTATTTGATACTAGCGGCCGCCCGCGATTTCGTACGCGTGGAGTTAGTTAGAAATAAAGGTTCACTGCTCGTTCCCCGTAGGTGAAACCGTGATAACTTTGAAGTAAATCTATGCAGTACTCTTGAGTTTATCCCGATCATACATCATACAGACAAAAATTCTAAAAACTATATTTTTGGCTTCGGTGTCTATTGTAGATATATTAATTTTGACTTTCCTACCATTTTATTATTATTTGATATAAAACCGAAAATAGAAGTTGTAAGCTTTTTAAATATTTATTTTAAGCATTTAACTGCTAGATGTTTAAACAACAGAAAAAATCACTAGGAAAAATCCATGCGGACCAGGCTGCAGACCGGAACAGGATAAATAAATATTACCAACACTCACACCAATTAGCCTAGTCCCAAAGTAAGCACTGTAAGGCTGGTGTTATGGGATTCTACGGTAACGGATAGAATACATATATAGTACATATATCATCATCAGCAGCCTATTAATGTCCCCACTACTGGGGCACAGGCCTTTCCTATGGATGGAATAAGGAGTTTGGGCCATGACCCACCACGCGGGCCCAGTGCGGATTAGCGGTTGCTCACGACTGCAGATGCAGCCGGGACCAACGGCTTAACGTGCCTTCCGAAGCACGGAGGAGCTCGAGATAGTAAATTTTTGGTCACCCATCCAATGACCGACCACTGCGAAAGTTGCTTAATTTCAACGATCGCAGCCGAACGCGCTAACCACTTGCGCCATCGAGCTCCTCATATATAGTACATGTATAAGTATATTTATTTAGAAATACATATTAAACATCCATGACTGGAGTACAAATGCTCGTATTTATCACACGAACATCTGCCCCCACCGGGACTCGAACCCGGGACCTCTCGAGTCGGCGACACCTTGAAACCCGGTGTACAAACCACTCGGCCACGGAGGTCGTCAAATAGGATATTTTTCTAGAAAATTTTTCTTTAGTTGAAAGCTTCTTAAAATCAATAATGCGTGGTTGCTCCCGGTGTACAGATGCGGTGACTCGGAATGCTTCTTCTACATGGAGGTGGGGCGGCAGACTTCCACCGGCTCGGGCGAGCTGTGGATGCACTCCGAGGACTCCAACATCGCGCAGAGCATGCACTCCACCATATACCTGTGAGTTATATAGGCGATGAGGACACTGCCGGATTTAGGGGAGGGCAACCGGGGCGAAAGCCCCGGGGCCTCCACAAACGGGGGGCCCCCACAATAGACTTCGGAAAAAAAATCTTTTAAATTCCAACTAGTAAACACTAGTAAACATCTTTTCCTTTGATATTTTTTTTTGCTCTTTTACCTACAGCCTACAGTACTTTGTACATCTATAATATATGATTATTTGATTATATTAATCTCAGGGTACCGAATTAAAGGCAGGGCAGGTGGGGCTGTGGCCCAGGGGCCTCCACAACAGCTTAAGAAATAACAAAATTTAGATGGGTTAACAAGCATTCAAATCCTAAGTGGCCCGGGGCCTCCACAATCCTAAATGCGGCCCTGGATAAGGAGGTGACTAAACGCCTCGAGCCCCTTCAATTAGACCGTGACGTGACGTCACTAAGCGCGTTGTATCGTCTGTACCACGGCGAGTGTTCCGAGGAGTTATTCTCTCTTATTCCATCTTCCCCTTTCCTTCGTATGTTACGTACGTTGTGAGTTACGTCGTTTACGTCCCTACCTTCGTATTCCAAGGAAGACCTGTGCCCCAGCAATCGGGACAGTAGTAGGCTGATGATAATGACAACTATGGTTTGTTTCCAGCGCGATGCGTAACTGCGCCAAAGACAATGAGAACGAGCGCGACCACATCGTTTTGCCCAAAGGCAGCGACGGATCCGTCGGCCTCCCGCCTCGCACGCAGAGCTTAACGGGCCGCCCGCGTCTATCCAACGGTGAGCACGCGATACTGACCCTTATACAACACCACACAAGGACCATTATCCCGCAAATTGTCACACCTACATTACACCAGTGCCCCTCCGACGGTGATAACGTGATACTGGCCCTTATACCTTAACACACAAGGACCATTATCCCGCAAACTGTTGAAGAGGCAGTGGTGTAGTTTAGGTAACTACACCACTGCCTCTTCAACAGTGGGTATGCGATACTGGCCCTTATACAACACCACACAAGGACTATATCCTGCAAACTGTCACACCTATACTACACCACTGCCTCTCCAACGGTGAGCACGTGATACTGGCCCTTATATCACTCCAAACAAGGACCATTACCCCGCAAACTGTCATATCTGAGCTACACCACTGCCTCTCCAACAGCAAGGCCTTTATACTACACCACACAAGGACTATTATCCCGCAAACTGTCACACCTAAACTACACCACTGCATCTCCAACAGTGAGTACGCGATACTGGCCCTTATACTACACCACACAAGGACTATTATCCCGCAAACTGTCACACCTATACTACACCACTGCCTCTCAAACGGTGAGCACGCGATACTGGCCCTTATATTTCACTACAAAAGGACCATTATCCAGTAAATTCTTATACTACACGACCGTATTTTCTCTTATTTCGCCTCTCCAACGATCATCGGATCATTATGCGACACTCATCTTTACGCCTCCTATACACAAGGATCATTATCTTAAACACCCTGAAACCTACTTTACAACAACGGTATCATCTTGCAAACTGTCAGTACGCGATACTGGCCCTTATATCACACCACACAAGGACCACGATCGTATCGTTTCGTATGTATCGCCTCTGAAATAACCAGTACGTGACCGTCGCCCTTACAGCATACCACACAAGGATCATTATCCTCTGCACTTTCACACCTACACTACAATGACCATATTGTCTCGTATATGGCTTCTCCAACGGTCAATGCGGTATCGTCTTGCAAAGAGTCATTACGGGAAACAAGCCCTTATACCACACTATACAAGCACCATTATCCTGTACATTCATACACCTACTCTACAACGACTGTGTCTATAATCTTAAATTTGTGATTGATATTGTACGTCAGTAGACCCTACGCTCGCTCTTACTACACACTACACAAGAACCACTTTCCCATACACAATATGTGGCTGTCTTTACGCCCCATAACTGTGACTTAAAACGTGACTACTTAAATTCGTATGGAGTGAGTGAGATACAATATTTTTTGTAACGCTAATCGTTGTTTTTCTTCGTGATGAGAGCACTTGATGCGGTTTTGGAACGTCAGTTATCCTTAACTAAACGTTTTAGATCATCAGCACAGGCCATTCAATAATCGCACTTCTGTATCGCAGCAGAAGGGCTGCTTTCGTATAACGTGCTCCTAGCTTCACATACAATCAGAATAAAATTTTAAGGTATTTTATAATGGTTATGGTAACACGTTGTTAATTATTCATAATAATTATATCAATAGTAATATTCATTTAATATAAAAAAAAAAGATTTTTATTAAGACTTAAAAATTACTAGTTTGTAAAGAAAATAATCTCATATCAATGGTATAAAAGTCTTGGATGGTATCACGTTAATGATCAATGTATATTTCTTTCTTTTTTTAGTCACCAGTATAATTAGGTATTTGACGCATATTGTACTGTTTATACTGATATTTTGAAACTAAGTTTACATGTAATTATTTATAGAAATTTCGTTCTAATATAAAATAATGTATTTCGTGCGGTGCAATATTTAATTTAAATTGTCCATTGGCAATTTCATTGTAACAATAGCTCATCTTAATAAGGGATTTTAAGTGCAAGTATGTACAGTATTATTCTTTTATTGATCTGTATTCAGAAACTCAACAGCCTCTTACAATAATACAGCAATAGAAGTATGACTTTTTATATTAGGTAGAAACGAATAGTTAATTTTGAATCATTTTGCGAATTTACTAGGGTTCGATTTTTTTTTTTAGTACAGAATAATTTGTGTTTAGTTTTATGTTCAACAAGTTATGTATTTAAAACGCAAGTAGATATTGATCATTCATATAGATTAGTGATGTAACGAATATTCGCATCCGCATTCGCATATTTTTGAATATTCGCATTCACATTCGCATTCGCAAAATCTCTGCTAATGTTTGGCGAATATGAATATTATTGAATATTAGAAAAAAACAATTTCAAGAAGTTGTAGTGCTTTCTTTCCTTGTATATTCATTGTTACACAGCTTGCATTTAGCTCGTTCAGCATCACAAAGTGTGAAATAAGTCCATATTTCACTAGAATTTGATTTACTCCTGATAATAAATCACTATTCAAACTCTAACCTAAAATTCACAAAGACCGGCGTGAGCGGAATGACCTTCAATCGGATGAGTTCATATCAATTCGGCAATTCGAACGAGACTGCCACCATGCCATAGTCAATTGGCGCCAATTTTGAACAAAAACTAAATATTCGCATTCGCGAATGTCGGTACCAGATATTCGCATCCGCATTCGCGTTCACGAATGTTCAAAAAAATGACATTCGTAACATCACTAATATAGATTGGTGCAATTAAAATCTATCATGCAATATTTTTTCTGCATAATTATTGTACCCGATACTTTCTTTCATATTTCCAGCAAACACTGTTGTTTATGATTTGCCATTTATAAAACTTTATTACTATGATCACACTTATCACGGACACGATTTCGCCCTAGTAGTTTTGATGATCAAGAAAAGTGTTTGAAGCTCTTGGTTAAGTAAAAACGCATGGTAACGTTCACGAAAAACATGTCGTGAATTCTATATCTTATTTTGATCACTCACAAATGCTTCGTGTCTTAATGATCATGAAATGCATTTTGAACAGGATTTGCTTTAAAACGCAGTTCAACAAACTTAGATTAGCTAGTTAGTTGGTACGTTTACAAATTGCAGAGTTTTAGCCTAAAGATTGGCTTTCTTATATAACATAGCTATTATAGCTTTGCTCGACTCCTTTAAAGAAGCACATATGTATGGCGATTTGCGCATTGAGTTTGAGAGGTAGTTTAGTATAAGCTTTTGATTAAGCGTAGATAACGTAGTAGCTTCATATTGCGCACGCACAGAGTTAACGCATTAATAAAACAGTTTAGCCAATACACGAACATAACATAGTATGGTGGAAAATCAGTTAACTGTGTTCTTTGAAAAACTTAATAAATGTCAGCAAAATTTTTATATGACACTTATGAATAATGTTTTTGTTCGGTATTTATTTTTTTGTATTTTTAATAAATTGCCACCATTAACCAATTTATTTGTTAAGTAAGAAATTTTGAGTAACTTCTGTGCGGAGCATAATATGACATTGTGACTAACACACCCCCACAATACACTAGAATTAGTGCTACACTAGTTTTAGGTGAACCCTTTTGATCAAAATATTAACATAAATTTACATCTATACCTAATACCTATAAGTTCAGTAGTAATACAATTTATAAGCATCTAAATTCCAATATAGATCATGCACGTGTGACACTTCATACAACTGTTTTCCTTCACATCATTATATTTTTGTTAATTTTGAAAAAGAGTACAATATTTTTTATATTCGTTTGTCATTGATCTTCACGTGTAAATATTGGATGAAATGTCTAATATTTTTTCTATCTCACCATTTTTAATGAATTTGTTTTTATATAAATCGGAAACAATGTCTCATTCCAGACTTGAGATTTTATAGAAATAACCTGTTTGTGGCATAGTTCAATTAATTGATATTACCGTGAAGAGCGATATAAAAAGCGTAAAATAAAATATTAATGCATGATAGATAGCCTTTGGTGATGAAACTGGATCGTAAAATGCCAATTTGAACCCTATTTACTGCTGATACAAAATAGGAGATAAATAAAGTTAAATAGGAAAGGGAATGTGATTAGGGGCCGTTCATAAAATACGTTCGCATACAAGGGGGGGGGGGGGGGGGGGGGGGTCTTGCTAAGTGTAACAAGATGTGACATGGGGGGACTGGGGGTCTACGGCAACGTGACGTTCGTCGTTCATTAAAAAAATTTAAATTAGTATTTCTTTCAACTATTTTTCTTTCTCAATTTTCATCAAGATAGAAAATCATTTATTTCGTATTTACTAAACATATATATAAATATGATATATTTATTTGTTATGAAAAGATATATATATAATTTATTTATATATTTAAATTTTATTATAAAAACTAAATAAATATTTAAATTCTTAAAATTTGTGTACCATCAATTGAAATTAATCATACTTGGGGGGGGGGGGGGGGTCTCCGTTTTTGTGACGGAATATTTCAAGAGGGGTCACAGAAAGTGTGACACAGCGTGACCAAAGGGGGGGGGGGGGGGAAAGCTGATTTTAGCGTGATGTATTTTATGAACGGCCCCTTATCATACATTATCGCGTCGCCTTTGGATTCCACCCACACTGCGACGCCCAGTCAACGGTTGCTAGTATTTGAGGGGTATACAATCAAAGTTGGTAAAGTCCACATTGCCAAAATGTTCAGTAAACGATAAAAACGATTATTTTAATAATTACAGGTATTTATTCTAATGTCAAACATTATTTATATGCAGAATGTAATACAGTATGGATATACAAGTGTTCATCACGTTCAGTTCAATACTTTTGAGTAAAACCTTAAGTATAAGATGGACTTTCCCAGTTTTGTTACCAAGTTTTGGACTTTACTAAATTTGTAACTGTAACACAACAAAAGAGCATTACAACATGAAAGGCGGCCATGACAGCTGTCAGTGAAATGGAGGCAATGGAGCCATCCTATCGGTGGAAAAGGACTGTCGGAAAATTGAAACTCAAGTCACTTGGACTTTGCTACGTTTGTTTGTAAAGTCAATTTTCAATTTGAAATAACAGTCGAGATTTCTAGAATTTGTATTTATTATTCTACGGGATAAATATAGATACGGAAATGAATGTGTTGTAATTTAAATCTCACTTTTTTAAATTTTGTTGGCTTCACCAACTTCGATTTTTTTGACCCCTGATTTGCTATTTGTCATTTTGGACAGCAGGTTGCCCTTTTCATAGTCCAGCTATCTTCGCGTTAGGACTTACTCCACTTAACATCAGGTGGGGTAGAGTCATTTGCCTACCTCGCTATAAAAAAACACAGAGGACATGCGGAAGATGCGTCATCTACTTAAATGTAGGTTTGTCTGTCCCACCGACACTGGCAGACCACCCTCAGGTTCGAGTGCTGTAGAGGCTCCAGATGTAGAGGAGACACCCCCCGTGGGGAGACGCCATCCGCCTGGAATACCTCTAGAGGCACTCGCAAATTCTCGGCTTGAGGTCCCCTTAGGATCTCGCCGTCCCAAAACCCGGTGACGCTGCAAAGGTCATCTGCGACCAACAGCATACACACTCAAAAAAACAAAAAAAAAAAGACACTGGGTAGGCGTGTAGCTGGCGGGGTTTAATGTATTTCGTGCAGTGCAATATTTAAAGTAACGATTGGCAATTTCATTGTAACAATAGCTCATCTAAATAAGGGATGTTAAGTGCAAATATGTACAGTATTATTCTTTTATTAATCTGTATTCAGAAACTCAACAGCGTCTTACAATAGTACAACAAAAGAAGTATAACTACTTATATTAGGTACTAGCAAACCAGTGAACCAAATGTTCACCAAAACCTGATTTCACGAAAACCGGAAGTGCTACGTTACTCAAATCCGGTTTGTAGTCTTATCAGACTATTCTTAACTTATAACTTAAATATTCTCTTTATCTATCTCTTACGGTTTGGCCGCTGAAACAGCACCACAGACAGACGGACTCGTCTAATAGATAAGAGATAAACGAATAGGTAATTTTGAATCATTCAATCAAAAATAAAGAGATAGGGTAGGCGTGTAGCTGGCGGGGTTATATTCGGGTGGGGTAACGCTTGGGGCGTGGTTGCAGCCGGGGCGCTGTGCGTGGGCGCGTGTATCCGTCAGTGCGTGTGCGAGTCGGGCGCCTACTCGCTCGACGACTGTGCGCCGCAGGCCGTGCCCCTGCCCGACCTAGAACCCGACGTCGCCGGCGCCGATGTTACCGCGCGGCACAATCACGGTACGGCGCCGCGTACGGGCAACGGGAATCGCAATTACGACACAGCCTAAATTCTAATTTAGAACTGTTGATGAACTTTCGTTTGAAACGGCGCTTTTTAGCAATAGGGATGATGACTAATTTTTTTTCTTCGTTTATCAGGTAGATTATCAAAAAGTATTGGACACGTATTTTTTATTTTTTTCACATAATATAAACATTGCAGAGATATATTGATTTGAAAAGTCGCATGACGTCACGTTTGAGTACACTTATAAGAGAAAATTCACTCAAAAGTGACGTCACGAGCCCCTACTCCCAAACTTTGACGCGCTATAACTTTGTCATTTTTTGGTTGATTGCCGAAAGAAAAAATACGTGTCCATTATTTTTTGATCATCTAACTTACGGACTAAATAGAATTTCGTTTACTGTACCCCGTCATCGTCCCTATTCAGAAAGACTGATGAGGTGAAATTACTCCTTGTATGGTCTCGTTTCTCGTTCAACCGTGTCAGTTGCAGGGTGGTAGATTATTAAAGAATATCAGTAAATTAAGATGCATCGACAGGAATATTCTCCGATAATATATGAAGTAGGTAATCTACGAATACATAATATTGTGGCAAACCCTGCCCCCTGTATTTCAGAAAAAGAACCTATTTTTTTGTTGTAAATTATATTGTAGTCGTATTTGCGATTCTACCGTTGCCTTTTGTGGCCAAAACAATAATTGTATCGACGTCTCCTTACGCTTGCCATGCCGATGCCGGTCCGCTCCGCCTCGTCTGGGTTTACCTAACAGATGTACTGTGGTCATGCAATCACTCCTTCCTCTCGCTCAGATGTGTCAACTAGTGTCAATGTCAAGTCTCTATTCTCTCTGTCCGCAGCATCGCTATTATCGGGGCTCGTGTATGACTGTCATTTTTGTATTAATATCAGGACTAAATGGACGACTCTCCGCCTTTCTCTTAACACACAATATCCTATGGCTGTTTCCATAAACATAATTTGTTCTTTAAGATTCAACTAGTTCGGCCATATTCTATAAAAATACCTACAAATATTTTAATTAAAACGTTTTGGGGAAAATCAGTTTCTATACGCAGAATTCATCAATCTAAGAATGTTTTTGATAGTGTTTAACGATAATTATTTTTAAAGAATAAGGGCGAACTATATACTTAAGTAAATCGCTTTACGTAACCGAAACATCAAATCAAACTGTTTTGTCATTTTCTTTCGAGTTTTGAATCGAATTTGATTGAAAAGGGGAAAACATCCTACTGCTAATAAAAAATAACGTTGAAAATAATAAAATATAAGATTTTATTAAACGAAACGTATAGGCTACAATCATTTTCAGTCATTTGACCATATCAAAAGGGATCATATCTATTTACATATAAATGTTGTATTAATTTTCTTGCATTTCATATGTTCATTGTAAATATGTCTTGTTATGCTTTATGTTCGGATTGGTTCTTTAAATTGTGTTGATTTGGTTTTTATTATTATTTTTTATTGAAAACTACGATTTAGAACAACATATTTTTCAACGGAACTGGTTATAAATGCAATCTTATTATTGTATTATGTTAAACTAAACCCTGAAGAGTATCCTTAAAAAAATATGGTATGAGAATTGGTTTCTGTGTATTGCCATAGAGAATTCGCTGCCTAACAAATAAATTAACTACGAAAACAGCTTTTTAAAATAGATAATAAACTAACAAGATAATAATAACAATCCCAAAATATTGCTATATATTTACATTGCAACTTTTTATGGTACTAAGTAGAACTGATATTGCACTAAACAAGGAAAAATTAAAAGGTAATGATATGACACGAAAACGTTTGAGTTTCTAACCGGAGGCCCAAGCATGAATTTTGCTAGCGCCTTCGTCAAATTTGCTATGGAAGTAATCATTTTGTTCTAATGTCCGCTAGGGGCGCTGCTGACTTTCCATAGAAACTTTGACGATGCGATACAATAGGGTATTTGACAGTATTAAAAATAAAGTGCCAATTGTTAGCATCTGTGTTTAGAATGAATATCGGCAGGGGTTTTTACTATTTTCACAGAAAAAATATTCATAATTTTACTAAAAACCCACGCAAAAGATAATAGTTTTCTTCACGTGACCCAAAACGCTTGGGATTGGCGGAGCCTAAAATGACGTCACACGCAAGTAAACTTCCGGTTAAAGTGACATTTCATTGTATCGTTTGACGTTTTAATAACAGTTGTGTGACGTCACACACCAGTGAGATGCCATATTGTCCAGAGAAGCGTTTTCGTGGAAAATGGAGTTTTTCATTTGGTTATTTTTACTGAAATACACAACAGAATGATGAATATCCACTTTTTACGGACTTCATAAACATTAGCCAATAACGTGAGATCGTTTTCTAAATCTTGTCAAATACCCTATTACGGATCTGTCAAAGTTCGTGCTTGTGGTACAGGTGTGAATTGATGCGTATATTGTATATTAATGTCCCCCTTCCGTATTGAAAGCGTGAATTTCATCGACGCGTGAAGTGCATGTTTGGTTTTGGTGTTGGTGACGATGGAATGGTTTGCGGTGATGGCTGGTTCGTGGCGCGGTGGAATTAAGCGTAGAGCACCCTCGGCCTAGACTAAATTATTGTTACAATGTTATAAACATTTTGCTAAAGAGAATGAACTCTTATCTGTTTCTACGAAAGCGGATTTTCAATTGTTACTTTTATATATTAATTGACTGACATGAGAACAATATATATTATATTGACATGTCTCAGTGTGCTCTATGCTAATCTGCGAACATTTCTCATGAACATAACTCGGAGATATAGTAGCTTAGAATGTTAACTTAAAGGAATCATCAATCATCCTTTGCTGTATGCCATATCTTTGATAAACTAATTTAACAAATCAATCGAGCGATGGTGTTGTCGAAGGCCGGTTAACGTGTGAGTATTTTTAAGGTTCGAAGGAGAAAAATGCCACATAATTAACATACATCGGAAGTATAATGCGATTCAACTAAGAATAGGACCGACTCGGCGCCATATTTTGACGTCATAGCTGTCAATTCAAACCAAATAGGTAGAGTGAGCAAAAAAAGTTACTATTTAAGAAAACTTATTTACTAAGATTAAGTGAGAAAAAACATCAGATTTGTTTTTTTAATTAAATTTATATACTATGATTGAGAAAAAAACACGATTTTTAATAATATTTATTTATTAAGACTGTGTGAGAAAAAACATTAATCAGACTCTAGCTCTTCAATTCCGTTCATCTCTGCATTACCGCCGGAGTAGTTATGAGTAATCATGCAGGTCACATACGAACATGCTTCCTTTAAATTAACGTAAATTTTAAATCGAGTTTCTGAACGCAACATAAAGTGACATTTGGTTGACGATTTAGGTTATCAACCATTCATAGCCAAAGCTCAATAAATGAAAAAGATATCAACCAATATTAATTATCAATATTTATTATTGTTTGTTTAAAAATGTTTGGTTTTTATTCTACAATTAGCTGAGTGCTAAAAAAGTGTTCCGAGTTTTTTTTGCAAACCGTACTTTTCAATCGACATTTGACAGATGGAGGTCATTGGCTTTCCTATTCTTATTTGAATCGCATTATTTCATTGCGTCATCGTTAAACGTTGAACGCATGCATTACTCGAAGTCATTCGACCGCCATCGCTCGCCCCCGACATCCCTAACCCCCATCGCACCGGGTGACGCTTGGTGCCCATGTGTTTACGTGTCGCTTCTCATTGTCTTCAGCGGAAAACCAACCGCCGAATAACTCATTAAGTAGCGATAGTGCGGGCGCGGGGCGGGTGATAAAGCACCACCGGACGGTGTCGCTGCCGGCCGGGTGCGGCGCGCCCAGGGACACGCCGCCTAAAGCTTCGCATGAGAGGACACGGTCCGCTCCCCTCGCGGGGGACGAGACCGAGCCTGCGACCGCGACCGCGACCACGACCGCGACCGCGACCGCCCCGGCGACCGCACCCGCGACCGCGCCCGCCCCCGCCCCCGCCTCCGCCGCAGCCCTATGGCCGCGTCGCGCCAGCACTGGCGCCCGGCTCTCCAAGCTCTCGCCCGCCCACACAAAGAGTACGTATCGGTAGCGAGCGCCATCACCAGTGTTGCCAACTCGACCCACAGGAATCTTAGCGTAGAGGATTGCACTTTTAGCTGGTAACACTAGCGATGCCCGCAACGCACAGGTATATTTTTTTTGCTACAGACCGCGTCAGAGTTATGTAAATATGTTACAAGCATTTATTTTTTTATATAAAAATTACGTTAGTGGTTATCGTCAAAACGGACAGTTGGCAACATTGTCGTCTAGTGATTTTATTTTAAATGGCTACTTTCTTAGTTCTTTTTTTTTCATAGTAGAGAGTTATGGAGAGTAGTTTGGCTAATGTGGGCGGTGTAGATGATCTGAAGATATTTTATTGATTTCACTTTTACTATGAAACGTAAAAAATATTTTTATACAAAAGTGAGAATTTTTCAGAACACTGTAATTTGATAAGTAGATCATCTAAATACTTGTCATACTCACATTTCGTGGTTAAGTGCTCGATCGGCTCTCGCAGGCACTTTATGCACTGTTGATAAGAATCATACTCCAACGACAAGTTACCAACCCTTAATAAAACTTAAACATAATCGCACCTACTAATGCTTCCTTCATCAATTCGTGCTCATTCTTCATGCTTCTTAACTCAAAACTGTGTTTATCATTTCTTCCGTTGGTAATGTGACAAAATATGCCTGTTGTATTTATTTGATGTGCTTGCTTAAAATAATACACTATACGCGTAATTTATGCATTATTATAAATAGATTTTTTATTGTTCTAATTCTTTAATCGGTTAGTTTGCTTCGCTTTGATTTAAAATTATTGTCTTCAATGTAATTATGTGCTTTAGTTATTATTGTGCTTAATCAAAATGTCCTTTTATGTACAATCAAGGTTATTCTAGTAAATTCACTGCGAATATAGTTCTTATAGCTACTTAATAAAGCTACTGTTGTTTTTAATTTTAGCCATCAACGTGACCTTGATTTTACTGAAATCCAATGAATTTTCAAATATTATCTTTTCCCCTTTTTATTACAACAGCAATTAGTCTTCAATAGCATGCGAATAAGAATTATGCTTTTGATGAAACAGAATCTTTTTTAAATTCGTAATAGTCTGTATGAGTTAAATGCCTGTAAAATTTGAGCTTTTTCCTTATGTCAGCTTGTGAGAAGGATCGTTTGTCCTCAGACGCCGGCCCCCTGCGCACGCGCAGTGACAGTATGCCCTCGAGAGCTTGCTCGTCGTTCGAAGTGGACAGGCCGGCGCCCAGACATAATGATCTAGAAGGTGAGACTTTAGTATTTGTAACTATGAAATATACTACGATATGGATTATTTTTAATTTTGTATTCATGAAAAGACTTCATTTGGTTATCTTATGATGGCTGAACCGGTGGCCAGTGTTTGTCCTGTTTAATGTTTTAACAACAACGTTTGTTGTCAAGACTCTGTCCCACCATTGAAGAAAGCAGAAATATTGCTCATTTTCGCACTCAATATAATGTACGTATGGGATCTTATGTGAATTACAGAAACATCAGTAGTTGATTGCTGAATGATGGCATTTCTAACGGCTTCTGCCTTCGTTCCTTTAGTTTTTGATATCGACAAGCGTTTCTCGATTATGAGACGAAGATTATGCGTTAATTGCAAACTTAGAGACTGCCTGCGTCTGGATACGCATACAGTCCAGCGACTGAATGGGCAGTATTGCTAAGCATGTTACGATAAAAGTTTGAAAAGTCCACGATTTTCAAAAAGTTGCTGTTTTTGGTTCAATCGAATTATAATATCTTCATACCATGCCGTTACACGTTTCGGGAGATATGTGATTAAAGTTTTGCAACTACTAAAATGAGTGCAACCGTTCACACGAAATTCGTCCAAATCTGGTAAGTGGTTTGACATTTCTCATTTGAAGCTATTCGCATGAAGTTTTGTTTGAATTTTCGTTCGCCTTTGTCTTAATTTTGTTAGGAATAACTTTGATTGACAAAAATACTAGTATCTTATTGTTATCACATATTTTTAAAAAGATATTAAATGCATGGTTGAATTTGACGAAATAGCAAAATAGTTCACGTAACTGTCGTGTTGTAGTATTGTAGATTTTTTTCCCTTCGTTTTTCATGAATATTGCTTAGTCTTAGGCTGACCGTTTTTATATGATTGATTACTTTAGACCGACACGTACCGTTTTCTTTTTCCAGATGACCTGCATGACAAATGGAAAATCATCAAAGACGCCCTGAAAGACACACGTCGGAGATCTGACAATCGGATGTCAAAGAACACGCCAAAAAATTACATGTCTTCAGATTCCATTTTGTTGCTGCTCCCTATAAAAGACACAACCATTTCATTGGGCCGGTCTTCCAAAGCACCTCAACAGCAAATACTGGAGAGAGACAAAACCTTATCATTTGCCAATCAACGCTCTGCGAAACCCCTTCCGAAGCCAAACCACGAACAGCCAACAGAAGAAATCGACCAAGAAGATATTTTCGCCTTCATGATAGCGCAGATGTTAAAGAAATTGACGACAGAACAGAAACATTATGCCAAAGTTGAGATATTAAACGTAATTAATGGAGCAAGACAATATAAATCGTCAAATCAACGGACACGTGCGCAAGCGCAAACTTTAAATTATGTGGATATTATACCTTTAGACAGAGCGACAGTGGCGCCGCCTACATCAGATGCAGTGACATACGCAATTGATGAACCTAGTTACGTACGTTTGCGTTCCTTGTATGATAGCTGATATCATAGTTAAATTATTACGACATTTACTATAAATTTTGAGACAACACAAAACTGTATGTGTATTGTTAAGTTTGTTATTGTTTTTTTTTATAAAAAATATGTACATATTTGCAATAGCATAAATATATTTCATTTATTGAATCTAAACTTTTGTGTTATTTCTACTCTCATAGCTCATGACATCGATTTAAAGGTTAGTTGATTTGTAATTATTCATAATATGTTTCATATCATTTTGGTAACGGGCTTCCTGTATTTTGTTTGTAATATCAAAGTAATTTATTATCTGTTCTAGTGTATATTCCATTCCAAAAATATTCTCAGAAAAACCTCCCTTATTAATAAACGAATAATAAGATCAAAATGGCTATCGTAAAAATAAAACGAAAAAAGTATGTATCGTTAATATCCCAATGGGCCTTATTCTGTAAATCTAAAACCAAATTTGTCAATAATATGTCCTTATCATATTCTATAGACAATGAAAAGGAGAGATTGATATCTAAGGTTTAAGTTTAGAGAATCTCAAAGGCCCACTATTTTATTGAAACCGGTGGATCTGTTTGGTGGCAGGGTTAGATATGTCACGAGATGAGACTGATTCGATGGCCGATTGGTACCGGACGCCGCGTATCCCGGAGGAGCCCGACGTGTGTGACGTCACAAGGGACTTCATCAGGTAAGTGAGCCAGAAAACAATGTATCTTAATGGTATAATAAATCTATAGATATTTTATCCATACTTGTTTTCAAGTGAAATGTTGTTTACTAAACCTATGATAAATGCAATGAAATTTCTCCTTATTCACATCGACTGTTAAAACCTTCAATAACTTTTTTACCACCCATACTTAGCTTTACCATTTCTTGGAAACGTTTTGAATATTTACTTTAAGCGATGCTTCTGTCAATATTATTATCATTGAACTTGTGAATAAGGTTAATCGTGCATTTCAACAATGTCTTCTATTGAGATAGTAATTTTTACTGCCTTATTCAGTATTCACATTCCAGCACATACACGCATATGCACCATACACACAAACGCATCACACATTCCCACACGCACGCAATCATACACAGACACCCTAACACACGCACACATTCACACACTTACACCATATACACACACACACGTACACACCAAACACACAGGTGTAATTAGTATATTTTAAATTAAAGTTATTGCTGTTTTATCTTTATATATATAATTCTTCTGTGAGTGTGTATGTCACTGAACTTGTCTTAAACGACTGGACCGATTTTGTTGAAATTTTTTGTGTGTGTTCAAGGGGATCTGAGAATGGTTTAGATTCACAATTTTGTCCGCTGGACAACCCCTATTTTTTTAGGGCGGTACGAAGTTCGCTGGGTCAGCTAGTTATTTATAAATAAAGACGGGAATGAAGGAGCGGTCTTCTTCCAATACAGGTTACTTAACTTAAAAGAAGAAGACCCACACCATGTAAACTTTTGATGTAAAAGAATAATAAAGTAATAAAGGTCATTGTCGTTCAGGAGTGCGGGCCGCTTAGGCGGCGCATCGGCACAGCACTCGCGGACGTCGTCCCTAGGCACCGACGACGCCGGCGCCGCTGCCGGGTACCTGCCCATGGCGCCCGGCCACGATCCCCTGCCTGCGCTGCTGTCCGCTAGCAGCGGCTCAGTCTGCAGCGGCACCCCCTCCACCGACCCGCGCTTCAGGTAAACTTATGTCTTCACCATTACCCCATCGAAACTTATGTCTTTACCGTTTCTTGTTTCACCATATAGCGCCACTGTTGAGAGTGCTCCTGAAGTGTGGCTTTCAAAGTTTGATAATACAGAATTTACATTTAAATCATATTTGAATACAATAATACCTTAGCGAATCATAAGCGGCCATGTTACAGTGCGTTCCGTTTTGGTCTGAAGCAAAGGATGACAATAATTTTTCTCAGCTCTGCTGTTAAATCACCGACATTCATTGACGGCCGCATCATTCAAAACAGAAACTACCCGAATACGGGTGTACTCGATTCGCTTCATTTACACTTAATAGTCGTTTACCCAAATTACATTTGTTACAGTGAATACCAATTGGAGCCGGCCACTTCCCACATAATGGAGGGGGCGAGGCCCCCGAGGGCGTGGAGCGTGGGCTCTCGTGCCGCCCTCGCCGCCGGGACTGCGGGCACTGAGGGCCGGCACCGCGCCTACAGGTGAGCATATACTGGCGGCGCTGACGTCACGCGTGATGACGTCACACGCCGCGCGCGTGGAGGGGGGGCTCTCGTGCCGCCCTCGCCGCCGGGACTGCGGGCACTGAGGGCCGGCACCGCGCCTACAGGTGAGCATATACTGGCGGCGCTGACGTCACGCGTGATGACGTCACACGCCGCGCGCGTGGAGGGGGGGCTCTCGTGCCGCCCTCGCCGCCGGGACTGCGGGCACTGAGGGCCGGCACCGCGCCTACAGGTGAGCATATACTGGCGGCGCTGACGTCACGCGTGATGACGTCACACGCCGCGCGCGTGGAGGGGGGGCTCTCGTGCCGCCCTCGCCGCCGGGACTGCGGGCACTGAGGGCCGGCACCGCGCCTACAGGTGAGCATATACTGGCGGCGCTGACGTCACGCGTGATGACGTCACACGCCGCGCGCGTGGAGGGGGGGCTCTCGTGCCGCCCTCGCCGCCGGGACTGCGGGCACTGAGGGCCGGCACCGCGCCTACAGGTGAGCATATACTGGCGGCGCTGACGTCACGCGTGATGACGTCACACGCCGCGCGCGTGGAGGGGGGGCTCTCGTGCCGCCCTCGCCGCCGGGACTGCGGGCACTGAGGGCCGGCACCGCGCCTACAGGTGAGCATATACTGGCGGCGCTGACGTCACGCGTGATGACGTCACACGCCGCGCGCGTGGAGGGGGGGCTCTCGTGCCGCCCTCGCCGCCGGGACTGCGGGCACTGAGGGCCGGCACCGCGCCTACAGGTGAGCATATACTGGCGGCGCTGACGTCACGCGTGATGACGTCACACGCCGCGCGCGTGGAGGGGGGGCTCTCGTGCCGCCCTCGCCGCCGGGACTGCGGGCACTGAGGGCCGGCACCGCGCCTACAGGTGAGCATATACTGGCGGCGCTGACGTCACGCGTGATGACGTCACACGCCGCGCGCGTGGAGGGGGGGCTCTCGTGCCGCCCTCGCCGCCGGGACTGCTGGCACTGAGGGCCGGCACCGCGCCTACAGGTGAGCGTATACTGGCGGCGCTGACGTCACGCGTGATGACGTCACACGCCGCGTGCTTGGAAGGGGCTTTGAGGGGTGGGTACAAGTGCAGTATTAGGCGTAGTGTAGACAGAAGTATATATATATCATATGACAAACTGACACGGAGCAACACGGAAGGGACAGTATATATATCATATGACAAACTGGCACATAGAGCAACATGAAAGGGAGCCTTAGCGACACAATACTATTAAAATCATTCTGCCACTTTTTGCGGGAGAAAAATATGCACATAAATGCAGTCTTAATATACATTCGCAAAAAATTATACTGTAATTACGAGACTCACACAAAAAATGAAATTTTTTAGGCCGCCTGGGCCCCGGAAGCATAATGGTCAGTGCATTCGTCCGGATAGCGAAGGGTGCGGATTCGAGTCCCATCTGCTGCCTGGTCTGGATTTTTTTCTAGTAATATTTTCTTTAGACTTAAAAATCGAGCAGTCACATACTTTTAAATAAAAATAATGAATACGTTTGTGCTTAGCGTTGGCGCCCGATGTCGACCGACGCCGTCAGCGCCGCGGGCTCCGGCCTCGGCTCCTTTACTACCCAGAACTTCCGCTGAGGACCTAATGGAGTTGGACTTCTCTGCCAACTGCAGTCCGCAGCCCAAGGTAATACAATACTCATAATACATACAACAAAAAATACACATATCTTAACATCATCATCATCATCAGTTTAATGTTCTCACTGCTGTAGCAAAGCCTATTCTCTATGGTTAGAATAGGGAGATTGGGCTGTGACCCACCACTTGTGGATTGGTGGGTCCTAACGACTGCAGATGCAGCCGGGACCGACGGCTTAACGAGTCTTTCGCAGCGCCGGGAAGTTCAGTTAAATTTTTGGTCACCCATCCAATGAACGACCATAGCGAAACTTGCTTAACTTCAACGATCGCACCCGAACGCGCTTAGCGCATGTGCCATCGAGCTCCTATCCAAACATGCATCTGAATAAGTTATTACTTCTTATTATTAATCTGCCCCTTTACAACAATATGTATATCGAATGTTTAAGAGTATCGTCGTTAGGATAATAAGAAGTATATTAAATTCTGATTTTCTCTATGTAAATCTTAAGAAGTAGGTAAGTTTGTAGTCACATTTCTATGATAGCTTTCATTTCAGCTTGTTACGGTATTTTATTGGCTCAGTAAAATTATTTTTTATTATTTTATATGTAAGTATGTCAGTATCACTTTTACGTCACATCGTTCAGGCACGGCAGCATGACCACCATAACGCGATTTACCAAAGCGTTTATCGACATTGACTATCAAAATAAAATATTACTATTAAAGTAACGCCGTTAATATTTAATGTGTACAAGATAAGTTTCTGTAATTGGCTTTAAATTGTATTTATATTTTATACTTTGTTAAAGATATATATAAGATAAGATAAAATAATTATTAATGGAGTTTGACAGTTGAGTGTCGAGAAATAGCTTTATCATATCGCGTATTGGTACTCATACTACGAGGACAGGTCTGAAAACTACGAAAGCAACTTAGTTAAAATAATTTATATTTTTATACTCACAACATAAATCACCTTTAGGGCCACTTGCGCTGTCCAGAGTTAGGAGTAAATTCTGTGTTTAAATTTTAACTATTTAATGCGTCAGAATTTATGGGTTAGACTAATACACCTTGGGTGTGTCATGGTCATGGGTATGTCACAGATTAGTGAGATCAATATCTCAAGGTTTGTGCTCTCTTTGTATAGTGTACTCTATAACATAAGAGCCCATAGAGCGCATAAAATACTTAGCACAAAGAGACCACAAATCTTAGGTATAATCTCATTAATCTCACTGAGAACGAGGAAACCTCAGATGTGAGGTTTCATAACCTAATAAAATCATATTTAACTCACCAATTTCGACGGGTTAAATAATGCATACACAGAATTTTCTCTTAACTTTGGGCACTGCAAGATGATTATACAGGCAGTCCTCGTACTTACGGCATGTTAGGTTTTCGAAATACGCGACGTAAATCGAAACGACGTAAGTCGAGACATCCCCACGGACGCCGGCCCCACGGATATTGACCTCGCGACAAGCAAATTCTTCTATGCCGGAAATTGAAACAATAGGGGTGATGACGGGGTACAGTAAACGAAATTCTATTTAGAAATCATCATTCATCTAACTGACGGATCAGTTAGAAGATCAAAAAACAATGGGCACATATTTTTTCTATGGGCAATCAACCAAAAAATGACAAAGTTATAGCGCGTCAAAGTTTGGGAGTAGGGACTCGTGACGTCACTTTTTAGTGAATTTTTCACTTAAAAGTGTACCAAAACGTGACGTCATGCGACTTTTCAAATCAATATATCTCTGCAATGTTTATATTATGTGAAAAAAGGAAAAATACTTGTCCAATACTTTTTGATAATCTACCTTATAAACGAAGAAAAAAAAATAGTCATCATCCCTATTGACGTATGCTTGAGGAATAGTGTCAAAACATTGTTCGACGTAACTCGAAACGACGTAAGTCGAGGACTGCCTGTATATTTAAACACGGGTCAACATTAAACAGAGACATAAACGAATCAACTCTGCGCAAGTGTGCCTTAGTGACATGACACTCACAATACCAATGTAAAACAGGTGATAGTGGCCCGTACTCCGCCCACGGCTGGTTTCGCAGAACCCCGTTCCCGGGCCAACACCGACGAATACGTGGACATGTCTCCCCGCACCGCCTTCCTACCCCCCAATCCTCCCGTCCCCACTCCTATCCCCACACCGATACAAACGCATACACAAACACCCGCCCCCGATGGGTACGTAGAAATGAACTACACCCGCGCCCCCTCCCGACCTATAGCGATAACGTCCAGAACTTCTATACCCCCCGCCCCTCATACCTCACCTCCTAGATTAGCCACCGCTTCCAAAACACCCCTCGGGTCTCAAACAATATTCCCGATATCCTTGGAGTCGCCAGCTTCCCCACCGGAGTTGGACGACACGGATATATTCGACGAAGACGCCAAAGGTAAGTTTATTATTAACTATCCTTGTTGTGTAGACAATGAAGGTGAGTTTTCATTGATTTTCGTAGACGGATGCCTCTGTAAGGAGCTCAAGTTATAGCGTCCAGAACTTCAATAACCCCCACCCCTTATACCTCACCCTCTAGCTAGAATTGGACCGCAGACCGCGTTCCCAATATATCTGTGGTGACTCGAGTGTCTTTGACGAGACGCCAAAGGTAAGTTTACTATCCTTAACAGCCAGCTTCAATAATTAAGCTCCAGTAAAAGGTAAGGATAATTCGGTTCCATTTCTTAGTGTCGCCGCACACGGGCCACCGACCACAACCACAAAACGCCGCCACCGGCATATTACTTGTAGTTTTCATACATTTTATATGGACTCGCCACACACGGTTCGCTGGTGGCCGCCACACGCTACAAATCGTCGTTGCTCGCTTCTTCTGGCCCGCACCGGCCACTTAATGCGCCGATACAAAACGCCGCCACACGTCACTCGCGCCCCACCCCTCTCTCCCTTGCCTTAAGCGGCCGCTGTCGCGCGCTTCAGCCACTTTAGTAGCCGCTTCTAGCTTCTCGTGGCGGCGTTTGTGGCTGTGGCGTGTGGCCCGTGTGCGGCGACACTTAGAAATAGCTGAAGCAGTTATAAATCTTAAAAAAAAAATGCTAGAAAAAAATCGTGGTATCAGACACGATACAGCAGACTAAGCAAATAACAATAAATTAATATGTTATTGTTATAATTAAAATAACAAAAATATTTAGGCAACAAAGCTCTAACAAGTCTGTCTCTTACTGGAATTTGATAATTGAAAAAGGCCGTAATATATACGCCTTAAAGATGTGTGTTCATTGATTTTCGTTGACGAAAGATCCTGATTAAATCCCTTATGCCATTTTATTTATACGCTAACATAATCATTCTTTAAAATTTCTTACAATTGCAACCATCATATGTACTCTACTTTAAGTAAACAATCAACAGTAGCTCTTAAAGTGTACGCTATAAAGGTGAGTTTTGTTAGTTTCCCGGCTGTCATGGTTACGAGCGCTTTATCACTGAAGAAGCTCAACTGTAGCACGGGTAAGTAGATATTTACAAATATAAGAATGAGAGAAAAACTAATGCTAAATTTCGATCAACCGATGCCTGATGTGATTTAATGTAGTCACAGCACGTTATGATGGCGGTTTTGACATAATACAATGGTTACGTGAAATATTCAATTATTATCGAAAAAATTATAAATCAAATGCTAGTTGCTTCTATGAGTTTCTGGATTTATAATAATGCATTGAGAGTAATCGCTGATAAGAAAGTTTGAATTAAATAAAAATTTAAATGTTAAGTCATACCAAAAGATTCTATGTGACGATCGCGTTATATTAAATATAATTTTACATTTAAATAAACAAATACCGATTCAAGTGAACACTTATATAATATGACTTTATTTTCATTAAATACTTAATTATAATATAAAATTTACTTAGTCCTTTAAAACACTGTTAAATCGCTTTTTTGTTAGTAAAAACGCGAAGTTTTGTCCTCGGAAATATATCATATAGTTAGACCATCTCTCTCTTTTTTTCTTTTTTACAACCGGCATATCCTCAACTCGACATCCTTATAGAGTCTGTTTTGCGTGTGGTGGGATTGTTATACCATATTACAGTTAAGAAATATTTTTTTGTATGCCCCAAAATTATGTTTACGATACATTTCAATACTATTTATTTATGCACGTCGCTATTGACAATAAAGTCAGTAATTTGCTCCACCAAATGTAGTTTCTAATTTATGAAAAAAAAAACAGCTATTAGCCTAACCCCAAAGTAATCACTGTAAGGTTGGTGTTACAGTATACAGGGTAACAGATAGAATACATATGAAAATGAAAAGTCAAACACTTGTGAAGGTCAAGAAGCTACGCCATCGGTTCGCAAAACTACGGCGGGAGACCTTGTACTGAGAAGAACCGGCAAGAAACTCAGCAAGGGCTGCTTTTTTCTCCCTGTATTGATATATACAGAGTCGTCAAGTTGATAATGATTTCAGAGATACATCTGAAGTCACCTTCCATTACATTATTAAGGATATAGATATATAGTTACAATAAATTTTATATTTAGTATATAGGAAGCGGCATTAGATAGGTACCATATTACTGTTTCAAAAACTGACTCATACCCATCAAATAACAAATTACAAGAAACACTATGTCCATGCATTTCGATCATTTAGATAATCATTAACTTTATAATAGCCCTTATTCATAAGAGTATTCTTAATCTGAGATTTAAATTTGGTTAGTGGAAGCTCAATCAGATCTTGGGGAACTTTGTTAAACAATGCAATACTACATCCCAGAAATGACTATACTTTACATATATAAGTATATGTATATAGCAATACATTTAAACATCCATGACTAGAGTACAAATGCTCGTATTCATCACACAAACATCTGCCCCCACCGGGATTCGAACCCGGGACCTCGCGAGTCGGCGACACCATGAAACCTGGCGTACAAACCGAACCACGGCGGTCGTCAATAGGTCGTCGTTATGCGATATATACTATATAAGCGGATAAACAACATTGAGTGCCGTTTTTATACATTGTCTACCATATCCACTGCTGGTATAATTTATATATATATACTAGCTGACCCAGCGAACTTCGTACCGCCATAAAAAAATAGGGGTTGGTGGTAGAAAGTTGAAAATTTAGGGATGTATGTATTTTTGTATGATGTATCATAAAAAAATTTAATAAAAAAAAATATCTAAAATTAAAAAAAAATAGGGGTGGATTACCCTTAACATTTAGGGGGATGAAAAATAGATGTTTTCCGATTCTCAGACCTACCCAATATGCACACAAAATTCCATGAGAATCGGGAAAGCCGTTTCGGAGGAGTTTAACCATAAACACCGCGACACGAGAATTTTATATATTAGATTTATTTTTCACTTGCATAAAAACGTCAAAACGGCCACCATAACGTATGATAGACTAGACTATACATTGTTTACGGACGCCTACTACACATAACCAAATTACCATCTCCATTGATAAGACACGTGGCGGGACATGAGACCTCGGGTGCGGCCGAATAGCGCGGTTCGATCCGTGTCGTCAGCGTCGACGAGAAGGGACGGCTCGTTAGGATCGCAGACGATATTCTCCCTGTCCCCAGACTCGCCGGCGCCCCTGCATCAAGCCAGAGACCACAGAGGTAACGGGTCTTTTCGAAGTCGTGCCGATTCCAACATGTTTCGAAACGACCAACCTGTTGTTTTGTTAAAAATTTCAGTAGTTTTTCTTTTTTTGATAGATTGTTGATTCATTCATTATCGAAATGTGACATTATTTGTGTTTACCGTGCTAACCTTATTTATTAATAGTATATTTGTTTCTAAACTCGTCTTTAGCATTGTCTTTATCAAACGCGAACATGCTATTATCGCAAGTTCGTCCGACTTTCAGTAGTTTGAATAGGCGATCACATTTTCTGTAAAAAGCACATATAATTAGTACCTCTTATCTGAGGTTCAAGCGTCATCGTCAAAGTTGCTATGAATACTAAGATGCGCTCCTACCGGACGTACGAACAAACTGGCTCCATCCATACAAAATTTGACGATTAGGTAGCTGTCAAAATTCGTGCTAAGACCTCTGATGTTGTGCTCTGGCAACACTGTAAGAACAACACAACAATGTAGCCATAATAAAATAAATAAATATAAATATTTCCAACACTCACACCAATTAGTTTAGCCCCAAAGTAAGCACTATAAGGCTTGTGTTATGGGATACTAGGGTAACGGATAGAAATACATATTAAACATCCATGATTGAAGTACAAATGCTCGTATCCATCACACAAACATGTGCCCCCACCTGGATTCGAACCCGGGACCTTTCGAGTCGGCCACACCATGCAATCCGGCATGCAAACCACTCCTCCACGGATGTCGTCTTTAAACTTCAGTCTTCTGTAATGTGGAGACCTATATCCCCAAATATGGAAAGCCCACAATTTATTCAGAAAACTTTTCTGTTACTGGCCTCTCACAGCTCGCTTTTTCTTGTGACTCAGTTTGTCATCATTATCTTTTCTTTTTTAAGCGGTTGTGTGATAAAGAAAGCACTTCACTGTTTTCGTGAACAATAATTTAGTGTGAAAATCCTTTTCTCTCCTCTCTTAAATGTCGTGCATGCTATTGACTTTGGAAACTGCAACACGGAACAATAAACTCAAGCGCGTTTACATTAAAGTTATTTTTTGTCAAGTACAACTCTTGCGAACTTGCGACGATAGGGTGTTTGCGTTCGATAAAGACTATGCTATAAGCGGTAAGAGTCAAAATCCTTTGAAAAGATTTATCAGTTTAGTTAACTAGTTGTGGTTTCGCAACTTTGTCACGAATCCGCATGACGACATGAAGACCCTAAAAAAACCAAGGTCTGGGGCGGCAACTTCACACGCTTGCTATGTTATTAGTGTTAGATTAGATGCCGCACTCAATTGTCTGTACTGGTAGCAGAATATGTGTAATGTGTTTTGTTCTAATTGTATGTACACCCAGAACAACAGGTCAAGTCATCCAGAGTCCAATTTCTCAAAGTAACTAATCTTTAGCTATAAATATTTTGTTTGATTTTAGATTTACGATAAATATTTTTGCTTTTTTAGTAACTTGATGTGTTGTCGGAACTAGTTTCATAAGTATATTGTTAGTTCGTGCAACACTCTGTAGCAATTTAGATTTAATTAATGATATAAAATTGTACTTGTCTTGCAAAATGAGGTTACTATATATGTAATGTAAAAAAAAGTTTATACAGTTTTATCTGGCTAACTAGTTAAAACATTTTTGTCAAATTTTATTAACAGGTTGCACGACATAGCTTGTTACATAAATAAAAAAATGTTTGAATACAATTTTGATTCTCTCACTACTTCTATAGTAAGCTAACTATGACTGAACTAAAATTGTATTGCAGAAGAGCCACTCGTGCACCCCCTGACTACCGTACGGGAGATATCCGAAGAAGGACGACGCAGCCCGACTTTAGCCGAGTGTGCGGCCTCCAGCTCCCCGCAATACGTGCGCCTATTGGCCGCCAACCCCACCGCCAACAAGACGCTGGCCAGGCCGCTCGACGCGCACGGTCAGTACTATACTGCCATGTATAGGTATATACATTACTGTGCCTATTGGCCGCCAACCCCACCGCCAACAAGACGCTGGCCAGGCCGCTCGACGCGCACGGTTAGTACTATACTGCCATGTATAGGTATATACATTACTGCGCCTATTGGCCGCCAACCCCACCGCCAACAAGACGCTGGCCAGGCCGCTCGACGCGCACGGTCAGTACTATACTGCCATGTATAGGTATATACATTACTCCGCCTATTGGCCGCCAACCCCACCGCCAACAAGACGCTGGCCAGGCCGCTCGACGCGCACGGTTAGTACTATACTGCCATGTATAGGTATATACATTACTGCGCCTATTGGCCGCCAACCCCACCGCCAACAAGACGCTGGCCAGGCCGCTCGACGCGCACGGTTAGTATTATACTGCCATGTATAGGTATATACATTACTGCGCCTATTGGCCGCCAACCCCACCGCCAACAAGACGCTGGCCAGGCCGCTCGACGCGCACGGTCAGTACTATACTGCCATGTATAGGTATATACATTACTGCGCCTATTGGCCGCCAACCCCACCGCCAACAAGACGCTGGCCAGGCCGCTCGACGCGCACGGTTAGTACTATACTGCCATGTATAGGTATATACATTACTGCGCCTATTGGCCGCCAACCCCACCGCCAACAAGACGCTGGCCAGGCCGCTCGACGCGCACGGTCAGTACTGTCATTATCATCGGTCTATTAATGACCCTACAGCTGGGGCACAGGCCTTTCTTGGATCGAATAGGGGGATTGGGTCTGACCCACCATACCTTCCCCGTGCGATTTGCTCTAATGACTGCGGATGCAGCTGGGACGGAAGAGCGACAGGTAATGAATTTTTGGTTACACATCCGATGACCAGCCATTGAAAAAATTGCTTAACCTCCACAATCGTCGAGAATGAAAAGGAGGGGACTGATGATAAATTTAAGTTTAGCTTCAGATAATCGAGCCACAATCGACAGTACTGTATGCTTAAAATACGATTTAGACAAAAGTGTTTGCGCATGGAGGTTGCGTAACAATAAAAATTTCCTTTATTCTCTTAGCGGCGGAAGCGCACAGAACCGCCACAGTGGTAGTAGCGGGGAGTATTTTGCCCCCCGCCCGGTTCACAGCCACAGGGGGTGTGGGGGCGGGGGCGGGGGCGGGGGCGGTGCAATACGCCGCATTAGACCTGCAACCTCGCAGGGCTTCCCAACCCCCGCCCCCGCGTACCTATACGCAGATCGACTTCCTGCGCAGCGAGAAATTACACGCGGACGCTACTTAGCCGAAAAACTAGTGCGAGATAAACTCAGTTTTAAAAGTGAAATAAAGAAATACCATAAAGTGAACATTGAACAGTTTGTGTGCAAAGTCAGCGGGACGCCTCCCCCTGGCGTGGCTTAGGAAAGGTGTATATTTTGTATTGTACCGTAAAGTATGTTTAATGCATAGGAGAAATTGTAAAAAGTGGAACATAGTGAGTGGATTTAAGAAACTCGTTCGTTAGATGGCGCCATTGAAAGCTCGCGATTGAATTTGTCGATGTGACCATCGAGATAGTGAACTCTTCGTGTCGGCATAATGTGTAGGAGGCGATTGAGTGCACCCGACCCGAGCGAAACTTGAATGTATTCTAATATTTTTCTAAAAAACATTTTAATGGCTTCTGCTGTATCTGGATAGCTCTAGAGCAACGAATAGAATTTGTGCATTCAATTTAATGTTTTAATGGAGTTCCTTGACAATTTTAATCAATACAAGGCGACGATCTTCGAGTTGGCTAAAATTATAAAGACAAATTAATCAAAGCCTTTTTTTACAACACCACTTGGCACAGGACATTGATACTATATTTTTGTTACAGAAAGTTTAATTATAGAGTTTACATAGTTTAAAACAGAATGTAACAAATTATTTACAAATAAAAGTCGTTGCCTTGTGTTTGGTTAATGTCACAGCTAAAAATGCATGTTTAGCTGACTCGTAGCTCGCATATGATAGGGCAGCATTTAATGTTACGTGCAGAAAAATTACTGTCAGTGTGCATATCACCATACATTATGGGATTTCGGTATAACAATCAAATGCATAGAATCAGCAATGGTTACAGCACAGCACTGAATGCAGCCTTTCTAGTGACCATTTTGTTATTAAACTTACAAAGCTGCAATGTTATTTAAAACTTGTTGTTATTTTAGCGTTGGGTCGCCGAAACGCGCGTTTGTACAGCAAACTGTTATTTTATAAATATTGTAATAATGTATTAATGACATTAAGCGAATGAAATTATGCTAAGTCTTACTCCAAAAAAGTGTTTAAAATAAATTGAAATGTTTTTTTTTCATTGAGTATTTTATGTCTTCATATTATGATTGCATTATTGCTGATTGAATGGTTAGAAGGACTACTTAGTTAGATTCACAACTATCGTTTAAAAAAGCAATGGTTACCTTATGCACCCTTTTCTGAGATAGGAATGATGTGTTTTTTAAAAACACACAAATATACCTTGTAAGAAATCTTTATTTGTAACAGAAAAAGGCGCATAGACGTAATTTGATTTACACAATTGTACTACTTGCGAAGTATCACATTTTTGTTCAGGAACAATCTTTTTAGTAGTGCAAGCTCTTATCGAAATGTACACCATGCATACGGTCGACAAAGACAGTTGCAAACTTCCATCGGTGTACTTTCAGTGTGAGGCAACGCGACTATCGAAATTAGACGAAACAAGTACACCAATTGCCATTTCATATAATGCAAAGAGCATTGTACAATGTTATCATCACACAGAATTTCGATTAATGCGTTGCAATCATTGGAAATAGTAAAAACGAAAATTATTAAACTTAAATGCGAGGGTTGTGAGCGAGGCCTAATGTAGTACACTCAGATTGTTTTTATGTTCCCAAGTAATATACTGCCTATTGTGTTCTTAGGATACTCTGTTCACTTAAGTACTGTGCAATGTTTTACCAGACATTATTAACGTAATATACTTATTTCTACATTGTTATTCTTTGTTGGTCCATGCTCGGTTGCACCATTTGTGATCTTGAGTCTTTTGTGTTCACATATATGTTACACAAAAGACTTATCTGCCTGTTAATGATTATGAATGCCGTTTAGCTATAAATGTACTGAACAGAACAAAATACATTTAATATTTTTTATTTTATAAATTCGGTCAAACTTAAGGAATACTGCATGTATGCTTATTTGTCTGAAAAATTTTAGTTGATTTTTATTATCTATGTGTTATATTTTATTTCTGAGATCACGAATGGTTTATGTGAGTGAGTAGTCATATAATAGTATTAGTGGAGAAATAGAAAGTGATTGTATTAACTGCAACTGGGGGTCTACTCCCTTTCTCCGAAACGAACTTTCGGTAACGAAAATTAAACGAAATTTCATTTAGTCAAATTGAGGTATTACTTATTTTGAACGATCAACTATCAATTTCAATCGTTTGGTAGGCTTAGAGAATCTATTTTATTTGAATTACAAAGTAATGAGAAATATATAAGAATCGTTCGAAGCTTCGCTCGAAATTTCGTTTTCGTTGAATAGGGTATTTGACAGTATGAAAAATAAAGTAACAATTTGTTAGCTTCTGTATTTAAAATGAACATAAGCAGCCATTTTACTGTGCCGAGAGAAAAATTAACAAAAATTAATAACTTTTCTATAAAATCATTAAATAGAAATGTTTTTTTTTGTTCTATGGTCAAGTGACCGAAAGTAAAATGACGTCACATGCTAGTAAACTTCCGGTCAAAGCGACATTACACTGTATAATTTGACGTTTTCATGACAGTCGTGTGTCGTCAAACACCATTGAGACGCCATCGTGTAAAGAGGAACTATTTCGCATCAACTTGAAAATTGAAAATTTAGTTTTCTTTTATACTGATATAGTCAACATAATGATGAATATCCACTTGCGATTGGCTACGTAAACGTAAGTTAATAACGTCAGATCGTTTTCCAAAACTTGTCAAATATTCTATTAGAGTAGGCCTCCGGAACTGACTGCTTTCTGCACAGCGGCTGGACCTAAAGCATAAGTACCACATTGAGCTTGTTTTAAAATATAAATGTTATGAGCATTTATTGCTTGATTAGGAATTTCGTTTGCCGAAGCATACTTTTGTGAATTGTAAAACAAGCTCCTAAGTAGTTTATGTACGTATAATATTGTGTTCACACATAAAAAAAAACATATTACTGTTACGCAAAAATGGGTTTTAATATTATGCAAAAATGTTGAGAATTTAAAACACAGAGGTGGATATTATTTAATTATATAAATTTAATTTTTCTTATTTATTGTATTATATCGGTATAACTAATACTTTTTATGTTTTTAATATAACTATGTTGAAGTTATTGTGGATTCATATAGTTCGTTATATTTATGCGTTACTCTCATGTAGGACTGACTTCACTATGACTAAAATATTTGTAAATACTATTGTTGTTAAAAAATGATTAATAGTTCCGGAAGATACTACCTTTTTTTTGTTTATTTACACCGTGCAAGTGCAATTAATGTTAAATAGATGATGCATCTTAATATTTTAATGAATGAGATATCCGACAACCGTGTATTGGAGACACTGTGCAAGAGAATAAGCCGGATGGATGTTACATTCCGATACTGAAGCGATGTGACCAGTCTCGTGTGTTCAAATACTTCCTAAAATCTGTAATAGATTAGTTACATACATAGTAAACGTGCTAATTTGCCTGCTCTCGATGAAGAACGTTTAAATAAGATGCGATGGGACCTGTATATTTAATGCCTGACTGAGTCAACACCAAATTTGTATATTAAAAAAAAAAGTTATTTATTGAGAAACCACTGTAATAAATCGTTTACATGACGCGAGGGAGTGTCGCTCGAACATCGGTTTGACCCGTTCGCGCGATACCTTAATATCAAATAAACAATAGGGGTGATGACGGGGTACAGTAAACGAAATTCTATTTAGTCCGTCAGTTAGATGATCAAAAAATAATGGACACGTATTTTTTTCTTTGGGCAATCAACCAAAAAATGACAAAGTTATAGCGCGTCAAAGTTTGGGAGTAGGGGCTCGTGACGTCACTTTTGAGTTAATTTTCACTTATAAGTGTACTCAAACGTGACGTCATGCGACTTTTCAAATCAATATATCTCTGCAATGTTTATATTAAATGAAAAAAGAAAAAATACGTGTCCTATAATTTTTGATAATCTACCTGATAAACGAAGAAAAAAAATAGTCATCATCCCTATTGTGAGCTTTAAAAATATGCCAGATTTGAACTTCAGCACAACGGTTTTGTTTTGTTTTTTTTTTGTTTCGTTTGTGATAGTTTTTTAAATAGTTGTATGAATATGTCGTCGTGTAGTTGTAATGTTTTGTGTTAGAGCAGAGTCGGCAACGGACAACGCGTGCGGCTATCGCGGGAATTAGATTCTCGTTTGGGGCGTCGCTTTAGCTACTAAAACGATGAAAACTCGAGCTAGTCAGTAGGAGACGATGTCCACATGATTTTTGAGTTTCACGTCGTCCTAGCTGGCTTGCTTTTCTGTCAGTTAAACTGACTCAGTTTTAGAGCTCGCAGTGGGGCCGCTGAACAGATACGCGGTGAGAATAGTACAATTCGTATGGCGTAGCCACTGTTTGAATTCCGGTTGATAGGTGAAATGCTCTAGGTTCGAGCCTCGTGTGTCTATATAGCAACAATCGTCAGGTTGTCATACACACGTTTATGAGTCAAAATATCATCGTCACAGACAGAACCTCAAAATTGAACAGGGCCGGATTTAGAAGTGTTGGGGCCCCGGGGCAACGAAAGAAGTGGAGGCCCCTAAATCTAGGCCCGACCTCTTACGTTAAATCCGGCCCTGAAATTGAATAAGGGTCCCGTATTACTGATTGAGGTACGAACTACCTAAAAATGATTAATGAGTGTGTGATGTGAGATTTTTTATATTATACTAGCACCCCCCGCGACTTCCTCCGCGTTAACTTAAGTTTTCTGAAAATCCCTTGGGAACCTTAAATTTTTCAGGATAAAAATATCCTCTGTCTTTATCCAGGTAATAAACTGTATGTGTGGCAAATGTTCATCCAAATCCGTACAGCCGTTTCGACGTGAAGAAGTAACAAACATACACACTAGCAAACTTTCGCCTTTATAATATTAGTGTGATTTTTATTTTTCAATTATCTATACAAACAATTAACATAAAAAATATAAACACTAGAAATTTTAATACCAGTTACAAATGAAATGCAAACTGCCGGCCTTTTCGAATGATTGCAGATTATTTATTTTTAGTCTAACAGTAGCAAAAACCGCACCAAAAAAAGAAATAATTGCTGTTTTTTTTATATTTACAATATAAAAAATAAAAACTCTTAAGTATTTAAAACCATCATGTGTGTATTACACCTGACGAGTGTGAGGTAATTGTTATACATAAGCCATTTACGCAGATAGTTAGTGCCACCTCGCAATTATTATGTAGTACCATGTTTAGGTATATAGATATATTATACGATATACACATACTTTTATTCCAGTTAGTTAAGTCGCGTTGAGTTTAAACACTAGGCGTAAATATAGACGGGTACGGAATAAGAGCATAGTCTTATTTAATGTTTACCACAGTAGGACGTTGTGCGCTCTCCTTTTATGATATGCCTCACTGTTTTGCTGTCAATTGTTATTCTAGAAAAGTTCTTTGTATATTTTTTATACTGAACTCTTAGGCATTTATAAGAATACATACATATACGACATCAAGCAAGGGCGGATCCAGCTTTGGCGCCAGGGGGGGGGGGGGGTCATATAGTCGTGGTCAAGTCACAGTGGGTACAGATGGACCCAGCCCAGGGGGGGTCACGACCCCCATGACCCCCTCTGGATCCGCCCTTGACATCAAGTCATAATACAGGTTTCAATGTGTACGGATTGACTTCACAGTGGTTCGGTTCAAAAATTTTCTTTTGTGTTTCACTCAATGTTTCCTTAGTATTGTATTGTTGTGCTTGATTATTATTAAAATATAATTTTAACAATTAATACACATAATATATAGAACTTATTTTACTAACACAATGAAATTTATAATTCAAATCTGATGTTTTTATGAAATTGTTCTAACTTGAAAATTTTCAATAACTCTTTGAGCTATTCTCTTTTTAAGCTACTTTTTTTATCAGATTCGAACTACTGTTAGGTTTTACTGTGATTATGTTGTGTATGTTATTCACAATAAATTGTAATTGTTATAGCATATTCTAAAAGGAGCTATTTATCGGCTTCATTTACATTGGTCACACTTGTATTTTGCGACATCGAAAGCTAGTGTGAATGCGGCCTTATAAACGTATATATTTATGATTATTGTGATTATATACAAATTACCTAACTCCGCGGGCGATGACTATGACGATCACGACATGTGGAGTTTTTTTTTTATTATGAAATCTATACTAGTCCGATTGCAAGTTAAAAACAGATTTTTGCATAAAACATGTTCCTGTAAACGGCGTAAATAGTGGTTTTTATGTAAGGTTTAATCGTAAGCTAAACTATGTAATGTCTAGATCAGTTTAATTATAATAATATATGGATTGGTATTAGTACTGTACTGTACTTTAGAAGTTGACACGCTACGCTGCGAGGGCTTACGGGATGCGACCTATGTGTGCACTATTGCGAACGCCATAAGAGCTAAATTACCATGCACGCACCATTGTGCGCCGATTCTACAGTGGAACGCTGCGAGGGTTCTGTTGTGTTTGAAAAGAATTAAAAAAAGAAAAAGAAATGTATTTTTTTACAAATGGTGCTACTGTTTTGTGTTTTAGTCAATGATAGCTTGACCGCTGTTGTACTGCCATTGTAGATATAAACGAGGAGTGTACGCGTTGAGAACGCGCGCGCATATCATACAATCCACTTAGTGTATAGTGAACATCACCAATCCACAATATACGTTATGTTTTTAGTATGTAGTTTAGCTTTTGTAACTTGCAAACGATGTCGTCGACAAATGTAACGGATCACAATGTGCGCGGTCCCGCCGCCCGCGCCGGACACGGCGTTTCATTATTGAAAATTTCTAAATCTAATTTTTTAGTATGTTAAACTTTGTTTACTTTCATATTACGATTATATTGTAAATAAAAATAAAAGCTTTGGATTTGCGCATTTGTTTGATTATTTCATCGTATACGCTGACAGTGAGTTGACATGTTTAATTTTAAATTATATTTTACCAAAGCGTTAGGGCAAATTTACACTGGAAGGACAGCGGCCGGCAGCGACTCGGCGTGCACTTCCAGTGTGTAATAATTGATAAACGATACCCAAAAGTTCATTATTGCTTGAAAAAGTTGCGCAGCCACCTGCGAAGTTACGCGGGATATGAGAGGAATAACTCTCCCCCGTCATAGAATTTGTAAATATTAAAACGGGGGGAGAGTTAGTTCACTCTGACCACCTAATAACCGAGGCATAAGCTAAGACTAGTTACGCCGTGTTTTGTTCACACCACTCAAATGCCATTTGTCATTAAATGAACATAGACAAAACATGGAGTAATCTAAGCTTAGTTTTCGTTTATTTATAATGAGATGAAAGAGTAATGTTCGCCGCGTTTCTGCCGGCCACTGCCATTTCGATATGAATCGACCCTTAAACAGCTTGATTTATTTAAAGATATTTTTTACTGGGAAAATCGACTATGGCAATATCATTGCCATACCGGGTTAGCTGATTTGTCAGAACTTCCGGGTCTGCTGTAAGGACAGATATTTTGCGCGGCAGGTAGATCGGCAACAGCTACAGCAGAGGCAGAAGAAGCAGGATGAAAGCAACAGCCATGATTGTTTTTTTTTTTCTAATAATAAAATATGTACCTCTAATGCGATTCAAATAAGAATAGGAAAGCCAATGACCTCTATCTGTCAAATGTCGCTTGAAAAGTACGGGTTGCAAACAATAACTAATATTGATAATTAATATCGATTGATACTTATTTTTTCACTTATTGAGCTCTGGCCATGAATGGTTGAATAGAAGAGCTAGATTCTGATTAATGTTTTTTCTCAGTCTTAATAAATAAATATTAAAAATCGGTGGTTATTTTTCTCAATCTTAGTAAATAAATGTTATTAAAAAATCTGATGCTTTTTCTCACTTAATCTTAGTAAATAAGTTTTATTAAATAAAAACTTTTTTTTGCTCACTCTACCTATTTGGTTTGAATTAACAGCTATGACATCACAATATGGCGCCCAGTCGGTCCTATTCTTAGTTGAATCGCATTATCGCTAAGTTTGTGACTAGGACACAAGTTCAGTACAAGTTGATAGTAAGATTCGATTTGGCTCGGATAGTACTGTGGCTGGGTCTGAGGTCGAATCACACGATGTTTTTTTCTTGGAATACTAGAACTGCTGTATATTAGAGTAAGGACGCGTACACTTAGAACGTCCGTTTTTACAGGATCCTTTTAATGGATTCGTCTCGGCTGAAGTCTGAAGGTATAATATTCACAGCATTTACAGGACTGATTTTTAACGGATCCGATGCTACTGCATGTGATGTTCATATTGTCGTCTGTTTTACGCATCCGGCGCTACTGGCTGTGATAATTATATTTGCTCCTGTGTGCAGCATACCGCACCCCCGTGCTACCGCTGTTTCAATCCGTTAAAACGATACGTACCCTTGTCACGAACCATTATCGAATTCGATCTATTTTATACGTCAAATCGCACGTCACAAACAAAAGGGTATTAGCTTCAAAAACAGTGTTTGGAGATATCGCGTTTTGAAGTTTTAAAAAATCATAGAAGCGGATCTACTTGTTCAAACGTTTAAAATGATACCTTGATTTAAACGTACATTATCCTTCTTTGTGTTGAGTAAGTTTAGTTAGTGTATCAATAGTAGTTTTTATTTTAAAAGTACTTTTATGTGACTGGGTGAAGAGAATACCCCATAAGCAAAATGGCTCAAATAACTCTTGATAAAATAACAACTAGTATCATTTTAAATAATTTCACTGAGAATAACATAATAAATAAAGTTGACCAGGCCAGAGGGTATTATTTTAAATAAAACTTCAAATTTGTATTAATCCGAACGGGCAATAGGGTATTAACTTGTTTATAATACTCACAATCATAAATTTTGCCTAGAAATTGACACATGTGTTGCTATAATTCAAAAACTATTTCGAATTAAACTACAATTATCTTACCAGTTTATAGAGAAAAAAATGTAGTTTTCGAAACGCAAATAAAAGAATAAATGGTTTTGCCGACATAATACCCTATTGTTTATGACGTGCGAAATGTGTACTGATTTTTAGTTCTCGTTACGTCCGTTGTAGCGTTGCTGTTCAAGTTTCCATACAAAATTAGACATAGACATTTCGCACTCTCATATTGGTTCGTGCTAAGGGTACTGTATTTCTGTTGTGTGTGGGATTTTATACTGGATCGGGAATACTGTCATATGTGTACTAGCTCATACAATTACATACGCCATTAAATAACGGACCTGTAAAACGGATTGCTATATAATGCGATTCAAATAAGAATAGGACCGACTGGGCGCCATATTTTGACGTCATAGCTGTCAATTAAAACTAAATAGAGTGAGCAAAACAATGTTGCTATTTAATAAAACTTATTTACTAAGATTAAGTGAGACAAAACATCAGATTTTTTAATAAAATAAATTTACTAAGGTTCAGAAAGATCACAACCGATTTTCAATAGTATTTCTTTATTAAGACTGTGTGAAAAAAAACATTAAACAGAATCTAGCTCTTAAATTTTGCTCATCTCTGCATTACTGCCGGAGAAGTTATGAATAATCATGGAGGTCACATACGAACATGCATCCTATATGTAAACGAAAGTTTTAAATCGAGTTTCTGAACCCAATATAAAATGACATTAGGTTGACGGTTTAGGTTATCAACCATTCATAGCCAAAGCTCAATAAATGAAAAAAAAACTAATATTAATTATCAAAATTTGTTATTGTTTGTTTAAAAATGTTTGGTTTTTATTCTAGAATCAGCTGAGTGCTAAAAAAGTGTTCCGAGATTTTTTTGCCAACCGTACTTTTCAAGCGACATTTGACAGATGCAGGTCATTGGCTTTCCTAATCTTATTTGAATCGCATTATACGTACGCGCCGTAACTGTTACTCCGTGATCATAGCACTTGAACATGCTTGCCTCGGTGCCAAAATATTAGGATCTGCTATAGGGGTTGGTAGCCCGTTAACAACATAAATAAGTATATTTTTTTAATACTGTTTATTTTACATATTATTTCAAAATAATAACTAACAAATTATTTTCAAACAAACACTCCTAGATGCAACTCTTAAGTCATAGCAATTAATAAAAGCACTCCATGGGAAGTTAATAAACATAAATTTTCATTATTACCTATTTTATCTCAGCACAGTTCAAAATTCTCCTAAAATGATTTAAAACAAGAAACAAACGAGCTAATAAGTACATTGCATACAACAACATAGTGAAATATTTACATACAAAATGTTGAAGAACTTACAAACTCGGTACTTACTCATTAATCATATCATAACTGTTCCTAATATTCTTTACATCCTTAACGAAAAAGGATTTTTAAAAAGTAACAACTTAATTTTATCTCAAAGGACCTTGGGCAAAAATGTATGGACGCTGCACCGCTGCACCCTCGTCCGCCACGGCTTAAACTACATTTGTTTGAAAGGTATTATAGTCAAGATCATATTATGTGCCAAAGCGCATCAAATTCCTTCCCGGGGTCTTTAGATTTTTTAAGTTAAATATGTAAAAGTACTATAACGAACGAACATTAATGAAACAAGGTAATTAATTTAGATAGTTAGTTCGACCCTACATAGGGTGCTCAGGAATTTGGCGTATATCTGGTTGTATAGTACGATATGGCATCTTGTTATGATTACTAATAATATAAAATGAAGGTACTAATACAAAATTAATTAATTCAGCTACTTAAATATGCCCATGTATCATATCTATTGACTACCAGGATATTTTTTACGGTGTCATATCTTTTGACTCCCAGGATATCTATTTTCGGTGTCATAATAAAAAAGGCTAGTTTCTCATAGATCTATCGATTCATACTAATTACATTGTTGGCGGAGCTGGGTGCGTTTTGCCCATTGTCCTTTAACAAACGCTTTTAAGTTGTAATTCCGAAACTTAAGCATTTACTATCATAATTTTACAAAAATACGACAGGAATGTGTTTTTACTGGCCTTCTATTTCCAACTCTATTAGCTTGTACTTAAAGGTGAAATTATATAGTCATAAGAAAACTACATATTTAAGGAGGAATATTTCTGTCTAATAAGCATTTGATATTTTGTTTTTTCTGTCATAGTGTCGTTTGTTACATTAATTTACTTTCTATAAAAAATATAGAAGAGAAAGAGAAGTGACTATTTCCTTACAATTTACATAAAAAGTATGGTTTATATTGGTGGTCTACAGTAAACACTCGCAATCTCATTTTGTGCAAGGGTTGGTGGGTTAGTATGTGAAATTGTAACAAAAATTTGAACTTAATCTGTCTTTAAACTAATCTCGGTTCCATCATAATTTTCAGTAAAAGAATAATCTTAAATAATAGTGCTAAAATAAATTATGCTATTGAATGGGAGTATGAACTTAAAATTAGTTTGGCATCATAAAGTTTGACAAATACATTCAGAGGCGTCCAAAAGAAAAATTTATAAGCTATATGCTATGGGGTATCCGAATCACCCCCATGTATGTTAAGCAATTTTTTGTAGTTTAGGAGCTACAATGATTTTATGTTTTTTATTTTTCCACCTGACATTGGTTTTTGTCTTGTTTACATCTTCCAGCAAAACTGGGAGTCGATTCACCAAAAACTCTCTGTAGATGTCTAAACTATCTCCTTTTGTAAGTGGCATTTAAATATGTTTTTTTTTTAATAAAAATTGTGTTTTAAACAATTAATCATAACTCCGTCAATTACAACTAAAAATAATATGAACGCAATGAAATCCATAATCTTTAAAAAATACAATTATTGGTCTCTGGTTTTTATGAATGATATTTTGTTTGTTAAAGGTTCTGAGCAGTTTTTAAGAACGCTTAGATTTGAAACCTCTGGCACCAATTACTTATTATTTTTGAAGCCCTAACATTTTTGACTACTGAACTCCAACAGTAATTTTGTACTTCAGATAAAATTTTACGTAAGTTCTGCAATGCTTAACCAAACCGCTTCATTTTAGGTGTTAGCTAATATCATGATAATTAATTACAGAAAAAAGAATATCTGAAATCTTTCGGAAAAAAACATAAAAAAGGAAACCCAATGCAAGGTGAAAAGTACGGAAAAAAAACAAAAAATATTTCTAGCTCCTAAACTACAAAAAATCGCTGAACATACATGGGACTAATTCGGATAACCCATAGCATAATGCAGCCAAACTTTTTTTTGACGTCTATGAATGGGCCTTATACATTTCCTTCACTTTTCAATCAAACTATTATAAAGTTCATTGTGAAAAATTCAGCAAATGCTTACATATGTTTGACATACATTGTAATATATTATAGGGAATTAATTACTTTCAAGACTTCAAATATGATTTGATCAACAATAATATGACATGTTACTGATTCAATCACTTTTACGTTTATGCAGTTTCAAACCAGTCTTTATACTCCAGTCTGGCTACTAGAAATTACTTTCGTCACTTGGGTGGTGACCGACCGTTTACAATGGTAGCGCTGTCTTTCCAAGACCTGCCCTTTGGTTTTACAGTCGTCGTTTTCTTCTTGACGATTCGTTTCACTGTTACCTCCTCATCAGAGAGCAGTCTTTTCTTTGGTTTGATTTTTTTCTCTTCTATAGTGAATGAATCTTCGAATATGTCCCCACTCGAGTTAGCTGATTCAGTGTCTTTTGATAGTTTTTGACGTTTCTTCTCTCCGATGATTTCACAGATAGGACTATCGAACGAAACTTGCCTAGGGCTGCGTTTCGGTCTTTCAACGGATGTTTGTGTAGCTATGTTCGTATGGTTCTTTTTAGCGGGTGGTGTGGCTTTGGGTGCCAATTTGGTCTTTTTCACTTTCACAACAACAGCAGGCTCTGTTGATTTCCTTTTGGTTTGCTTTTTAACAGGTTTAACTTCTTCAATATCGGGTTCCTCATTCTCACAGTTCTCTATTTCCGGAGCTGGTACATCAACTTTCGGTTTTCTACCTCTTTTAACAAGTTTTGGTGCTTCGCCATTTACTTTCCTCTTTTTGGTACCATCTATTTCATCTTGTGAATCGGCATCCTTGTCATTGAGGTTGGCAGGTTTAATAGGTTTTCCTTTCTTGCCTGGCGAGAAAACTAATTTACTGGTTCTAGTCTTACCTTCACTCTTGAGGTAGCTATCAAACAATGTGCGACACTTTGTGTAATCAGGAACGTCTTTTGGCTTCAATTTGTTCATGTACTCCAAAAATTTTATCAAAGCTTCTGAAAACAAAAATATTAGCGCTTTAGGTGTTTTCAGTGTTACTTGTATCGATAGTCAATTCTAACTAAAATTAGTTATGACTAACCAGGTACATTGTTGAATTGTTTGGTAATATTACTTCTGACATTTTTCATGAAAGATTCCTTCATATCCTGCACTATCTTTGGTTGTTTAAGATTCTTCTCCCAAGGCAGTTCACCAATGAGCCATTGTAACATGTTGTATCCTAAGATTTCTAAATCTCCTCTCATGGTGGGAACTGAAATATACAAATTAATATTTATACTTTCTCTGACAGACCTTAAATACACACAACACAACTTTGTATTTCTTTATTTAATATCAGTTGCTTTAATATGATTGAATGAGTGACACACAAAATTGTTTTGAATCCTTCTAGAACAAGTTGCTCAACTTCAAATCAAATCACCCCCTGGATAGAACAAAAATATATTACCAGTTGGAACATTAGGACCTGTAAATATCCCATCCAGTTGAAGCATGGATTCAGTCAGAACTATTAATATCGAATAACTATAAAAAACCATTACCTCCCAAGTGAGCATCCCTGCTGGTGTACTCAATAGTTCCATTATGTGCAGACTTTGGGTCAGGTTTGAACTCCTTGTCATTGACACGAGTGGCCAGACCGAAATCTACAAGATATGCTTGATTTTCTGTGCCTTTGCGCAGACCCATGAGGATGTTGGCTCCCTTGATGTCTGCATGCACATAACCTCGACCATGTATGTACTCGAGAACATCTAACTGTAATAAATTTGATTGCAGATATTTTAATACTCTTTACGGATAGCACTACAATTTGTATTCACCACCTTATAATTGAAAATGCACAAAGACCCAAGCGAGAATTTTGACAGCTCCATAATCATATCATTATTGGCAAATTTTGTATGGAAGGATCAAGTTTGTTTTTACGTCCTCTTTTCTCCTACTTTGAGCCTCTGAACATTGGACAAATCCTCATTATTATTGAAGTGAAACTTCTTTATCGGCGTTGGAAAAAAATTTACCGTCACATTTTTCGGTTACGCGTCACATTTTTCCGTTACGCGCCATCTTTTTTTATATTAATAGTTGATAGCTGAATGACCACACTGTCGCCGGCGAGAACTCTCTCTACTCGTTTGTAGCTGAGTGACAATAGTTATTAAAGATAAGACTCGCTCAGCCAAACTCGCATAGCGATACTCGCTCAGCGATAATCGCTCAGCGATACTCGCCCAGCGATACTCGCTCAGCGATTCTCGCTCAGTGATTCTCGCTCAACGATTCTCGCTCAGCGATACTAGCTCAGCGATACTCGCTCAGCTATACTCGCTCGGTTAAGCTGGCTTGGCTGTCAAAAGCCGTGCGCGTGCATTTTAACTCTGCCAATTCGTTTCTAGTTTCTACTCGCTTATCGTTCATCGTCGGAGGTGGAACATGTGCCTTAGATTACTGAGCCGATTCTTAATTTTGATTTAGCCTTACCATTTGCAATCCTAATTGGAACACAGTTGCAGGTGAGAAAAATCTTCCACATTCCTTAAACAGGCTCCAGACATCTTTGCCATATCTTTCTAATACCAAATATCTGTACTTCTCTCCCTTGTATTCATGAGATCCGTTCCCATAGTAGGAAGGCATTCCAAAACTACTAAGTTTCTTAGTCTTCGTGAAGTTTGCAACTGAAACGAGACAAGGTGAATTAAAAAAAAGTACCTATATTTAGTTTTATCTGACATATTTTCATAAAACTGTTTTATAATGAAATTAAATTTGTCGAAACTTACTGTCTTCTTTGTTTGCATTTCTTATGTAAAAATGCTTCTCTACAAATAATGGACCATTCTCATGTGGTTCCTGAAAATTTATTGGAAGATCAATATTTAAGCAACAAAAGAACAGTACTTGATCACCCAAATGCACCAGCCACTCTAGCATGACCACCGAAACGGGATATGATAAAGCAATATATCGGCATTAACTGTCCGACTACAGTTTGACAGGAGCCTGACAGTTAATGCCGATATATCGCTTTATCATATCCCGTTTCGGTGGTCATGGTAGAGGGGCAGGAGGGTTATTTCTATTTATTGTCTTGGATCTATTAAACATTGAACAACAAAACCTTTTTAAAATATGTAAAACCATTGTAATTATCTAGACTATGAACAGCTCTTAAACCTCTGCATGACCAATGTCTTGTCATAAAGATAACAGATTTATAAAGCTCACTATTAGTTAGCTTTATAAATCTGTTTATCTAGCTTGTAGTAGCTACAGAGAACCTCCAACATTAAATAAAATTTATAGATAACCGGTAAAATGGACAAAATGGATTTTAAAGTTGTACTTACTATTTTAACTACAAAAGGATAGTTATTTCCTTTCTTAGGTGACCCCTCATGGTCACATGCTGAGTATATTTCTCCGAAGCCACCTACACCAATCGAAGGACCTATCCGCCACTTCTTCTTTGCTATTGTATCGTGGATAACCTCCCCCGTGGGGATAGGAGCTGGCATTTTATATCCATTAGCAGTCTTCTTAGGAGCAACAGCTTTTTTACCTTTACCAGCCATGTTCTGTTTTTAGTGAATTATAAATTAACCACAAATATTATACATTTACTAACGAACCTTCTATAAAAATTAACAACTACGTATAATTTGAACAACCCTTAGTATTTTTTACAACAAGAGAATAACCGCGTCGCTTGCTTTCTCGATTTCGTCGTTGTTGACAATTTGTGACATGGCCGCGTTCAGTACCAACGCTCCGGGTGCAACTTATCCCATATCGTCACGTGTAAGCATAATATTTATACGATAACTAGCGTGAAGCCTTCACCATGTCTGCCAAAAAAAAGGACAGCCTAAAATAAGTCAACAAGTTGTACCGAAGTTTACAATAATATTTTTCAAAGGAGTGATAAAATAAAACGTGAAACAGTAAATCAAACTTTATCCTGGTTTTTTCTAAAGTTCCCTGAGTTTTGGTGAGACATTTGATTATGGTTACATTTCTCATTTTGATGCCATTGAGGAGGCAAAAAGACACTTTGTTTCGAATGACAACAGTGTTAGCATTGAGATTTACACGTAGGTACAGTTTGTCTATAAAGTCGTGACATGAATGTTTGAGGAACTAACATTAAGTTAAGTTGCTAGTAGCTAAGTTTGGTGTCTGGCAACACAGAACTTATGTACATCAGCTGTCATCGAGTTTCAGTTGTGGAACAGTTTTCCTTTTGTATTTTTATTGTTTGGATTAAACTGTAATAAATTAAGACAAAACTATGCAGAAAGGTATAAAAATGAGTAAAGTAAATCGGAGTGGTACGCGGGAAGTGATTTTTAAAGTTTTCCAGCGATGTTTCGAAGACTACCAAGCTGGACGAATTTTGTGGGATTTGAATGATGTTTATGGGCGAACAGCATCTATGACAGGTATGTAATCGTGTAACTATTTGTTTGTACTCTGCCTGAAGTTACAAATTTACTCAATTTACGATTTTGAGACCAAAAAAGGCATTGTTTACTTTGCACATTTTTTGGTTAGATTGACATTGTAAATAGGTAATATTGTAGTACGACCATTTCTTTTGATACGTTATTATGGTTCAACTCGGTCACGTTTTCTACCAATTTTGAATTAATTGCTTCATGTCAATAAGTTATTGTTTCTATTCCGTTACATATTTTTTTACCTTTTTTCAGGAAAATCAGAGAGTTGGATAGTCAACGAAGGTTTTAAGAATGATGGAAAGTTTGAAACTCCTGGGAAAACAGGCAAGGCCGACCAAATATAGAAATGGTCACATAAAGAACCATGGCCAGATGCTTGTAGTGAAGATACCTATCACTTATTTTACTAACTGCACATTAACAAATTGTTTCTCTAAATAAACTTTTTATATACTATAAAATAATTTTTAGTATTATTTTCTTAACAAGTGTGTTAAAAACGTCGTATGATGATACTTGTGTGTATTGATGATTACCTAACGGCTCTGGTCTCAATGGCACCTCAGCGGTAATCACCAATATTACATACTTTTACACTATAAAGTACTATTTCATCTATAATAATTTTATTCTGGTTCAATTAAATATGCTTGGCTAAACTTTTTATAAGCATAGGTACCTACTATATATAAAACAGAAACAAAATACGACTGTATAGTGTGTCTTATTAATTACCTATTCTACTTGAATGAACTGATAGTATCAAAATCATTTTGGTCCGACTGTATAGGGTTGCTACATGCATACTAGTGGCGCCATCATTTAATGTCACGACTTTATAGACAAACTGTAATTAGTTGTAAAGGAAAGGGCTAGATCTATCTTTTCTTTCAAATAAATTATCGCACTGGTGAAAGTAAAATGGACCGAATGTATTTTATTGCTATTAATTTCTTATAAATTATGATCGGAGTGTAGAACTGAACGTAAATCTAATTGAACGATTTGTCAACGTGACTTTGTTTTTTCTTGTTAAATTCTGCAATAATAAATTCAAAGGAAACTACAATTTACAGCTTTGTTTTTAGTAGATTAAAATTCTTCATCACGTTTTTTATTAGAACTTCTAAATATATTTATTTTAACGAAGTTACCTTCATAATACTGAGCTCCTGTCAGAAGTTTTTTTATAGTAAAAAGAGTACCTATCTTTGAACATGTTGTACTTTTTCAATGGGGTAGAATAACTGATGGGTGACAATATTTTTATTTCGCCGTGCTTTTCTGTCCCACTCTCTAGAATTAGTAAATCAAATCAAAATAATTATAGACCAATAACGAATGCCTTTATAAGGCTCTTCGGAGCCTGCCGCCGCCTGCCTCGGGCTATGGTCCTCTTGGCCTTAGGGTATCAGATATCTTCAGAGGCATAGGCACCTATTGTACTCCTCTGAAGATCGCTGCTCTAGCTGCCAGCCATTGGAAAAGAAAACAATTCGAATAATAACGACAAAATATTTATTTAAAATATTATTTTTATAACAAAATTATTCAACGTTAACATATAGAATTTACATTTTTCACTAGCCTTAAAATAAGTAACAATCTACATAATTTTCTTTATTTTATTCAATAATTAACTATGAGTAAGTTTAAATAAATAATTGTTATTAATGGGCTTTACTTAATTGGATACTTAACTAAATTACTTTCTATAAAAAGTTCAGTAGAGTCTCTGCGGAAAGAGAATGGGATTTAGATTGGAGGGCGCTAATAGTGCTTTTCTACCGTATTTGTAAGGTTTTACCCCTTTCAGACATGAATAAATACAAAAAACCGCAAGAAATCACACCAACAAACGAATCCGTATCAATACAAAACTTTGACGATTTACAGATTACTGAGTTTGATTGCCAAATAAAAATCTTAATGTTAGGTCCGTTTTTCGCCACGCCCATTCTCTTTCCGCACAGACTCTATTAAAGTTTTGTTGATAAAATATTTTGAACTAAGTAATTATAATCTTTACATGAATGTGATTTGTTTAAAAGTGCGTAGCCTAATTAAATCAATGTTTAGCTTTAGAGTTGCGATGTGGTTGCGATCTTTATGCGGCAGTTACAATTTTATTTACGTAAAGTGTGGTGTTTATTCTGGCATGATTCTCTCAACCTAAACTTAAATTTACAATAGTGTATCCTTGTCACACTCTTTACCTAATGAAAAGGAGAGACTGATGTAAAATATATCTTTAAGTTTAGAGAATCATGCCAAAATCGACACCTGTACCTACCTAGGTATAATAAATTTAACTAACAAATCACGGGATAATCCTGTGTACAATTAATTTTGAAGTCAAAAGTTAATAAGTTACTTTATTTTTTTATGTTTTATCATTAATTTCAACAATACACTACAAAATGTGGGGTCGTTCTAAATACGAGTAGGTGGGTGGGGAGTACTTCTTGATATTTTTCGCAATTTTACCATAAAAACCGTAAATCTGTAAAAGAGAAATAATTATTTAAAGTAAATTAAAAGTAACCTAAGAGTAAATATCATTAATTACTAAGCGAAAGGTAGGTAGGTAAAGGTAGGTAAGGTAGTCCAAGGTCCTTAAATTTAAAACACAACGTACTTTGTCATCTACTTAAAAGAATTTGATGCCATGTGGCATTTATGGCATAAAAAATGCAGGACCAAAAAAGGTCCATTAATTTATACAATACAATACAAAAACTCTTTATTGTACACCACAAAAAAAACATTGAATATTAAGTACAAAACCATCTAGTACACGTGATGCAATGGGCGGCCTTATCGCTTAAAGCGATCTTTTCCAGGCAACTTTTTATTATATCTTTAATTTATTTCACCCATTTCATTTTAAGTGTGAGTGAAGGGGAGTTCTTTTCGAAAATAATCGATGCAATAGAACGGCAGCTCCAGTTTAATGCACCCTGTACCCCAAGCACGAATAACTAGCGAGAAAACAACCGTTTCGTTATGCACGTCAAAGTTTTATGGAAAAAGCTAGGTCATTCTTACGTCCGGTAGGGGGCGCTGTTTAGTTTCCATAGAAAAAATTACATTGGCGATACGAACACGGATCTGTCAGAGTTCGTGCCTGGGATACAGTACCCCTAGCACGAACCATTATCAAATTCGAATAGTTTGCGAGTACAAAATGTCAATGTCTTTTGTATGGAAACTTGAACAGCAGCGCCACAAAATACGTAACGAAAACTAAAAATTAGTACACATTTGACAATGACATTTCAGGCTCGCAAACTATTCGAATTTGATAATAGTTCGTGCGTTTCATGGTGTCGCCGACTCGAGAGGTCCCGGGTTCGAATCCCGGTGGGGGCAGACGTTTGTGTGATGAATACTAGCATATTTGTACTCCAGTCATGGATGTTTAATATGTATTTCTATACAAATATACTTACTATATTTGTACGGTATATGTATTCTATCCGTTACACTAGTATCCCATAACACAAGCCTTACAGTGCTTACTGGGCTAGGCTAATTGGTGTGAGTGTTGGAAATATTTATTATTTATTTAATGACAAATTTTGTATGGAATCTTGAACAGGAGCGCCACAAAGTACGTAACGAGAACTAAAAATTAGACAATGATATTTTGAACGAGGCAAACTATTCGAATTCGATATTGGTTTGTGCTAGGAGAATTGAATCTAAACCCGATCATCTACCTATCCCATTGTACCTGGAAACTAAACTCGTTGGAGGGTAACAACTTGATTGACATAAGGTCCTTTGCCCCTATATGAAGCAGAAGACCAACAATAATTCTTGATTTTAGTAAGTATTGTGCTGTTCTTCCGTTCTTCTTCTATATGAATATAGGGGGCATATAGTAAGTCAAATATGAAAGTAAGGAAATAGCAAAAAGGTTGGTCGACGTCACAGGAGACCGAAGAGCTGGCAGTTACCTCGGACAAGGGGGAACGCTGCCAGTATCTTTGGAACCTTGCCTAAAGGGACTCCTTTTAATAATGTATTTTAGTTATTATATATTTTAAGGTATTTTAGTTATATATATCCTCCTAAACTTATGTTTAGATGTCTCAAAAATATCATAGTAGGATATTGCGTTGTGTATTAATTTGTTAGTAAAAACAGTTATAACCACTTTTCCATGACACAAGAGACTGCAAAAACATCTCTTATCTAATAGACAAGTCCGTCCGTCCGTGGTGCTGTTTCAGCGGCCAAACCGTAAGAGATAGATAAAGAGAATATTTAAGTTATAAGTTAAGAATAGTCTGATAAGACTACAAACCGGATTTGAGTAACGTAGCACTTCCGGTTTTCGAGAAATCACGTGATTTCTATTTCAAACGAAACCACACAAAATCTCCGAAGTTCTCAATTAATTAAATACATTTGGTTCACTGGTTTGCTAGTTAAAAATAATCTGTAAATTACTTGATTGACTTCAATATGAAAGTTTGTACATATGTTGATACTTATTCACGCGATAAAGTCGGAACGGATTTGCCCCCCTAGCATGAGAACCGTGATATGATAAATAACGCGTTCTTATCACGCTCACTTGTCAAATTATTATGGAGTTTGACAGATAGACGCGTTAAAAAAACGTGATATAATCTAAATTGTAGTGCTCATGCTACGGGGGCTGGATGAAGTTTGGCACACACATAGTTTATCACTTGAATCTTGCTATTCTGGAAAAATATAAGGTTCGTATGGAATTCTCAGAAAAGTAACTAAATCACGGACGTAGTCAAGGGCGGAAGCTAGTGAAGAATAAGTAGTTGTTGGAAATGTTTCATATCCTTTTCGAACCCAAGTATAATGTGCTTCTGAGCTTTCCGAATCTATTAAATTAATAATTCATTTAAAGGTCTTTGTGTTCGCTTATACAATAAAGTCCCAACCAATATCCAAGAGTTAAACATAAATAAATTTAAAGATAGTATAAAAAAAACACTTATTACAACGTGTCTGATTATATTACAGACAAAAAACTGTTCCAATCATTCCAACAGGTTTTCTATATTAAATAAATCATAATTGTATGTATTGTCGTTGTAACAACATAATGCTACGTAAATGTTGTTACATTAGACTTTTAATGTTGTGGAGTTTTTTTCGCTCGTTGTTCTCCGCAGCAAAAAAATAGGTCCATGACGAGTGGTAGGGGGAAAAAAAATTGGACGATTCAAAAGACTTGAACTATACATCCAATTTGAATAAAGATATATTGATTTCTGATTTCTGATTTATTCTTCTTTTTTTTTCTTTTTTCTAACAAGAGTCATAACGTGTTTTATTTATTTACCTCAAAAGAAACCATCATCATACCTAGTCGTCTCCGTAGGCCGTCATCGAGTACCAGTCCCTAGCCACGTCCTCGTATATGAGCCTCTTGACTTGCTCCTCGTATTTCGGATGCAGCACTCGCGGCGTGTGCCCACGGTAGGGACACGAAAAAAGTATCGATACTTTGTGGTATCGAGTACTTTTCCTTTCGATACCGATACTTTTGTAGTCGATTCTTTGTATTCGATACTTTTACTAAACGAGTACTTTTTGGCAAGTATCGATACCTTTTCATAGTTATTTATTTAGCGACCATATTGTTAGGAACTGTGATTGATTCGCCGTTTATTGTGCTTTACGCTTGACTGTATTTGATTTATTCAAGTATTAATCTGTCTGTTCTGTGTATACCTATTTGAAACCACCTGAAAAAAAAACGGACGTAACCTCTTCCATAAATAATTATATCAACTTCACTCAAGATTATAAAAGATTATAAAATCTTGAGTGAAGCATGCCAATAGCAGCCGTTAACTACGTGTCAGATTCAAGTTAACATAAGTGGGTATAATGTTTTTTAATGATTAAAATTCAAGAAAAGTAAGTTTAATTAGAAACAAATCTGAAAAGTTTCATATTTCTATATTGTTTAAGATTTCGATCTTTTTAATTAACATTTTAATAAGGAATGTAATATAAATGAACACTTTTTTAGTGTCAGAAATCACAGCTATTTTCTTTTCATTATATAATATAGCAATTTGTGAATTTACATGTCCTTTTTTGTTTTTGATTATACGTACTACAATAAAATTCGATTGTTTTTCTTTCAATTTTAACACCCTTTGCTCATCAGTTCACAGAGGCTCCGATAAGGCCCTATGAAATGTACTCGATACTTTGAAGTATCGATACTTTTGTTTCGATACTTTTACGAGTACGATACTTTTTTACCGATACTACTCATGAGTACAATATCGATACTTTCTATTCGATATCGTGTCCCTAGCCCGCGGAACTCGCGATGCATACGCAGCACGCGGGGAACTTGAGTCAAGTTTCATTTACTTACCTCAAAAGAAACTGTCATCGTAGTCGTCTCCGTAGGCCATCATCGAGTACCATTCCCGAGTCACGTTCTCATATATGATTCTCTAGACTTGCTCCCCTTATTGCCGATGCAGCACTCCCAGCGAGCATCCGCGTAACTCGAGCAGCATCAAGTTTTATTAACTAACCTCAAAATAAACCGTCATCGGCCACGTCCTCGTATATGATCCTCTTGACTTGCTCCCCGTACTGCGGGTGAATCAACCGCGGTGAGGTCCCCTATAATATAAAAAAGACTACCTTGTTTCACATATTTACCTCAAAAGAAACCGTCATCATAGTCGTCTCCGTAGGCAGTCATCGAGTACCAGTCTCTAGCCACGTCCTCGTATATGATCCTCTTGACTTGCTCCCCGTATTGCGGGTGCAGCACTCGCGGCGAACGAGCTCGGAACTCTAGGGGGACGTCGTAGCAGCGACATACGCAGCAGGCGGGGAACTTAAACCAGTCGGAGAAGATGCCGCGGCACGGATTATGCGGGTCGAAAGCTAGAAGGCGATGCAAGCGGTAGTGCTGCTCACATCTGTAATGTTAATACATTACATTTTATTACATATTATTCTATTTATTCATTACATTTTATTTTATTGTATTTAAATTAACAGTTTATCCTATTGAAGTTTGATTGGAGATGTATTCTGTAATTGTCATTATTAATCGACTATCTTATTTTGTTAGCTTTTCAATAATTTAGATTGACATAAATTACTGATGTTGTAATTTTGCTGACGATAATATAACGTAATTCGCTTTTTGTATTATTTTAATAATTTATTATTGGTATGTGAAATTGATGGCTTAATGATTGTTAATAATATTAATGTAATTAATGCAATGTTAAATATTTGCATGCTATTGTAAATGGCAGAATGGGCCGAACTTTATATTTGTAACATCTCCAGTGTACCCCTATTCTAATGCAAATAAATAAATTCTAATAATAAATATCAATCAATAAGTGAGATAGATGAGGTGGATTAAAAACTAAGACGGTAGTCTTCCTTTTACAAATGAAGGCCTTCAAGTCAAATTTAAATATTCTGTGTAGACTTTAATAAGACGAAAAGTTTTCAATTCTATGGCGGGAGAAGGTAAGGTAAGAAACTCAACTGACTCGTACCTGCAGTGAATTTAGATCCATCATATCTATGTAGTTACTTAGTTATTTTACTTGCTCTTCTATATCAGGATTTATTGCAGATTGCTTAATAGCTCTTATAACCAATGGGTATAAGAGCTCCAGGGTTAAGGATTTGGGTTCAGGCCGGCAAAGGTAGTTCCAGCGGCACCTTTCTTCCCGATAGCGTCGATTAGATTCCACTCGTACTTAACATTTAAGGGTGAAGCAAAAAAAAAAATCGAAACTAATGGAATGTTATTAAAGGTAAGTATTGACCTGCACCCCTCGCGGCAGTACATCTGCTTGCGTTCGTGCACGCAGGTCTCCAGGTGTATGTACTGCTCGTAGGGGTACATGTTGACGAGCACCAGCTTCTCTCCTCGTGTGTTGTTCGCCCAGAACGGTGCCAGCAGCTCCTCCTTCGTCTCACACGCGTTCCTGCAACCCAATACTGACACGTTGTATCATTATTTAGCTTCAAATATTTTCAATAATATATTGGATCTATGATCATCAAGATTGTTACCCACTATTTTATTTTAGGAGCAAAACAAAATCGCAGAATAATATGGCTACATGTATGGCTGCATGCATAGTAAAAGCACAAAGTATTTCTAAAATTCATTGTTTTTGAACAATACTAAGACTACGGCCGTATTTCCCGCAAGAAAACTTCGGCGACAAATAGTCGACAGTCTTCGATATTATATCAGATAGTTCGACAACAACGAGCAAAATATAAGTGTAGCATTGCAAGTTACTGTCGGACAGACTGTTGGACATTTCTCGATTTTAGAAGTTTTCTTGCAGGTGTTATGCGGCCTAAGGTTCAACTAATGCCAAATCTGGCATCGGCATAATAGAATCAAAACCATAGAAGTGAGCCAATGATTTACGTCCAAACAAATAAAATACCATTGGTATCATTAAGATTTTTAAATTGATATGCATATTTTTACTCTTTCTTCCAACTCTAATCAATCAAAAGTTTAGAACTGGGTACAAAAGTATTATCATTAATTGAGAAACTTACGCTCCCCGTAATTTAATAACTGAAGGTCGTTTCTCTTGGAACTGCATCGGTTTCACGAGTGGCTGCTCTTCTTTCTTCGATTCTCCAGGTTTGGTGTCCACCCTGTCCGTTTTCCCCTTTTCGTGCTCCGAAAACAACGCCGTTGGTGGAAGTGTTGATGCATCTGGAATAGTATTCATAGCTTTCCATCCGTCTTTATCTGACTCTGTAGCAGCTTCATCTGACGCTCCAGCAGCTGACGCAGTCCTCTCTGTACCATTTATTGGAGTTTCAATTGTCGAAGTTACGTTTTTATCTGTCGCTGTGCTATTTTTACTAGGTCTTACGGTTTCGGACTTAGTACTGTTTTCAGATTTATTGGGATACACACTGTTTGTTTCGATACTTTGTTTTATTACCGCATCTAATGTAATAACATCTGGATCTAAATTGTTAATTTCAATATGCGCTATGCTTTCCAGTTGTGTTTTATACGATATACCCTTATCGTCATTCAGAGTTTCATTACTGCTTGTTTTAGTACCGTTGTTCACACTGTCGAATTTAGTGCTGTTGCCTTTTACGTCTAATGGCTTAACTTTCAAGTTGTCGTTGTCTACTTTTTTGTTCTTGTCGCTATTTTGTATAGGTCTGAAGTGAGGTTTGTCTTTCATGGCACGTCCGTGACCTCGTTTCGTGTACATCAGTTTGGTTTTTACAATATCTTCGGCGAAGTCGTTGGAATCCTCTGTATCTTCATCATCTTCTATGAAGTTGTCTAGTTCGGCTTTCATCACCGATATATGCCGCTCTTCTCCGTACATACGCCTCATGAGGCCCTGAGGATTAAAATTTGCAAAGTTCAGTATCGTTATTTATCGCAATATGAGAAGATCGTACGCAGTAGGTAAAGTAAAGATAGATAAAATTTACATCAGCTTTTTGTAAATTGTTGTCACATCCCTTGTGGAAACAAAATTTATGAAACTTAAAACTAAATTTGATTACAGTCTGTCTGTTTTATTTTGTAATGAGCATGACAGAAATGTATCACAAATGTTGGCAAATTCAATTACAGGTTTAGAGAACCTTAGTTTTAAAAAGGTTTAGTTGTTCGACCGCCGACGACGAAGCAACTAACTATTTTCTCGCTCAAGAAACGCTCAATAGATGTAACTACATTCAATGTAAACAAAAGAAATAATAATATTAATAGTTTATTGCTGACACTGCCGTTTCTAGCTCGCTTCTCGTTTGCGTTCTTCGTCGGCGGCGAGACAAGTGCCTTATTCTCAGTCGATATAATATGTTGTACCAAGTACCTGATTCTCCCTGACGAACCGCCTGATGGCTTGCCAGGGGTAGTCGGCTCCAGGCGTGGTGCAGAATCCCTGTGTGGCCAGGTCGCAGGGCGGGTCGGGTGAGCCGCGCGCGCGGTTCGAGCGGTACGGGCGCGTGCACGCCGACGCGAAATCGTACCCGACGCTGGGGCCTGTTGTCCATGTCACCTGTAAATAGAATCAGGGGTTGCAGTCTTAAGATCTAGAATCTATGTACGGTGATAGTTATCGTTGTCCGTCCTACTCTATAAGGCGTTGAGCAGACGACGGGGCGGGGCGGGCATTTTGTCCGCGAAGCAATAAAGACCGCGTCTGCCCGTCGATGTCTGCGGCTGCCCGCGCCGCGTACACAAAGCACACGACGGGCAGAGGCGGTCAGTTTAGGACGTTCGTTCTAGTGAATAGTCCATCATAAGCGCGTGGCGCGGACTGAGCTGACCGCCCCGCGCCGCCGTCTGCGTTACTGCATATAAACTGGTTTGTATGATCCACGGTGGGCAGCCGCGGACATGCCGCACCGCCAGTGCCCTCCTGGCACCCAAGGCGCGGTCTTTTTGCCCTCTGTGTGCGTTTGAAGTATAGGATTCACTTTGTGCTATTATTCGCGGCGAAATTGACCGGCCCGCCCCGCCCCGTCGTCTGCAAAGTGCCTAAGCTTAGCCACATGACTTACTTCTGACTTGAGGAGCTCAATGGCACCAGTGGTTAGCGCGTTTGGCTGCGGTCGTTGAAACTGAGCAACTTTCGCAGTGGTCGGTCATTGGATGGGTGACCAAAAATTTACTATCTCGAGCTCCTCCGTGCTTCGGAAGGCACGTTAAGTCGTTGGTCCCGGCTGCATCTGCAGTCGTTAGCACCCACCAATCCGCACTGGGCCCGAGTGGTGGGTCATGGCCCAATCTCCCTAATCCATCCATAGGGAAGGCCTGTGCCCCAGCAGTGGGGACATTAATAGGCTGATGATGATGATGATGATGACATGACTTTCCCTGTGAACGTGAAACGGCGCAGCATCGGAGTGCGGCATGATGCCGGATAGACGGTGCCGCAAGCCGTGCCGCGTTGAGTGGATATGTTGCGTGCGTAAAATGCATGGCAAGGCATCACACGGTTTTGTTACTGGGCTGTTTTTTAAATACACAGTACACAGCCGCAAAGTACGTAAATACGCGATTTACCGTATTTTAATTATTTAATATACCTTCTTGAATTTTTGCTAGCTTTTTGATTGTAAGTATTAGATTTTTATATAAAAAAAATATTTTTTGTGAATGAAATGGTTCAATTAAAAATACTCTTTGTTTTTGAGATCATTTCGTGGCCGTACCGTGCATTCGTTTGCGTTTATTTAGCGTAAAATTACCAACATTGGAGCAAAGCCCCACTTAACTGAGTAGATCTATAAAATTTACTGGTGCGAATCACACTGTCTTCGTTAATTTTACTTTAAATGTTCTTTAGATATAAGTAAAGAATATTATTTGCTATGGGTATTATGTTTTTGATCTAAGCACCCAAACAATACAAAACATTTGGTCAAATTGTACAATAGTTAATTCATCAATACCACATAGAAGCGTAATAGGATGTTTGTTATTTCTAATATATAGGGTGAAATTGAATGTTTCTATGAAACTTCGTGAGATTGTTGGTTACGTGTATAGTGTGCCTGATTTTTTTCGGATTTTTTTGAAGTATATTTTTTTCATGTATTTATTTATGTATTATTTATGAGGAGCTCGATGGCGCAGGTGGCTAGCGCGTTCGGCTGCGATCGTTGAAGTTAAGCAACTTTCGCAGTGGTCGGTCATTGGATGGGTGACCAAAAATTTACTATCTCGAGCTCCTCCGTGCTTCGGAAGGCACGTTAAGCCGTTGGTCCCGGCTGCATTTGCAGTCGTTAGCACCCACCAATCCGCACTGGGCCCGCGTGGTGGGTCATGGCCCAATCTCCCTATTCCATCCATAGGGAAGGCCTATGCCCCAGCAGTGGGGACATTAATAGGCTGATGATGATGATTTATTTATAATTTGTGTATTTTTATGTTTTTTCCTCCTTTTGAGTAGTTATTCATTTTAAACAAACAAACTTACATATCCAGTGAAAAACAACTAATAAATAAGCACTTCTAAAAAACACCTTACTCAAAATATGTCCGTTGGCCATTTTGCTTCCGCAGAAAACTCCCGCGAGTTATCCGCGGCCACGCGGCGGGTGCGGCAAAAAACCGCTCCTTGAGTTCCTAGCCTTAGCAAATACATATATTGCAAGGATTCCTACTCTTTCTGTTTAGTTTGACAATAGCAATCGCATATTCATTCATTAAAACCATTGTGTGTCCAGCAGTTTCGGAATGCTGAGCGAAAATATTTAGAATTTATTCTTTTGTACCGAGAGAAAGCCAAGCTTGGCTCATATTTCCAAAGAAACGTTTTACCTAACCAAGTTTCGTAATAACTTACTAACAAAAGATGACACTGGCGGATTGGGCAAAGTGAATTTTAAATTAGGTGGGTGTTTTCGGTAACAAGCAAATAACCGTTAGAGTAGCCTACCGCACAGCTTTTGTGGATTACATTTATTATTCTTTAACATCGTCATATGTTCTGTTTAAATCTAAATATATATAAATCTCGTGTCACAATGTTTGTCCTCAATGGACTCCTAAACCACTGAACCGATTATAATAAAATTCGCACACCATGTGCAGTTCGATCCAACTTGAGAGATAGGATAGTTTAAATCTCAAATTATAGTCGCAATTTTAATTTATTGCAAATTATTACTTTTGGGCGGTACGAAGTTCGCCGAGTCAGCTAGTAGTTAATAATTACACATACTAACTTACCAAAAGTGGGTAAGCTTAGGTATATCGAATAAATTCGAATACTTATTTATAATGCGATTCAACTAAGAATAGGACTGACTGGGCGACATATTTTGAAGTCATAGCTGCCAATTCACACCAAATAGGTAGAGTGAGCATAAAAATGTTGCTATTTAATAAAACTTATTTACTAAGATTGAGTGAGACAAAACATCAGATTTTTTAATAACATTAATTTACTAAGGTTGAGAAGAACACAACCGATTTTTAATAGTATTTCTTTATTAAGACTGTAAAAAAAAAACATTAATCAGAATCTAGCTCTTGAATTTTGCTCATCTCTGCAGTACCGCCGGAGAAGTATGAATAATCATGCAGGTCACATACGAATATGCATAAACGAAAGTTTTAATTCGAGTTTATGAACGCAACATAAAGTCACATTTTTTTGACGATTTAGGTTATCAACCATTCATAGCCAAAGCTCAATAAATGAAAAAAAAAACAACTACCTAATATTATTTATCAACGTTTGTTATTGTTTGTTTGTTAAAAATGTTTGGTTTTTATTCTAGAATCAGCTGAGTGCTGAGTGCTTAAAAAAGTGTTCCGAGATTTTTTTGCATACCGTACTTTTCAAGCGACATTTGACAGATGGAGGTCATTGGCTTTCCTATTCTTATTTGAATCGCATTATAGTTAAGTAATTATATCACAAGAATATGAGAGGTAGATCATAGCAAATTGTCTGCTCACATTGGAGCGCCCGTCTGGGGAAGTACTTTTTGGTGATGTTGTGTTTCTGTCGATAAGTGGGGTTCCAGGGTTCCACGGTCTTAGGGAATCTTATGGGGGTCAATCTTAAGGGATTTGGTCAGGGTAGACAACTGTGAGATTGATATTTTTGGTATCGCATGCGTCTATGGTGGCCGCGTACCAGCTGGTGGGCCAGACGTTTGTAAGCAACCCTTTTCTTACATAAAAAAATCGAAACTGTACTTTTTAGAGTTCAGTACCCTTAGCACGAACCAATATCGTATTCGAATAGTTTGCGAGTGCGAAATGACAATGTCAAAGGAGAATGCTCATGGATGTATGGACCACCGTACAATGGTTGCATCAATACCAAACAAATGTTAAATGATCGTTTAATATTCAAATTAGTATGACTAATTGGTATTTTGAAAATAAAAACAGGGGTTTTAAAGTTATTGTAAAAAATGTGACATAACCTCAAATCCTTAATAACCCCCATTTAAAGTTAGGTTTACAGCTATTTTTTATTCTGCTGCGTTATTTTTGATCAACTTGTGTCTTTCACACAGTTTTCCAACCTACTGCATAGATTTTCACGACAACACAGATTTCAGATGGCAGATTTATAGTATGTAGGTATAGGTAAATAAAAAATCAATATAGGTATTTCAAATCTTCAAATACCCTTAGCACGAACCATTATCGAATTCCAAATGTCAATGACAAATTTTGTATGGAAACTTGAACAGCAGCGCAAAGTACGTAACGAGAACTAAAAATCAGTACACATTTAGTACTACGCTAAGGGTACTGTACCCAAGGGTACAAACAGAAACTTATTGCTCGCCCTCTGTCAATCTGTATGTCACGGTTCTCTAGATCGTAAACGGAACGAGTTACAGTTTTTTTTGGTCTTGTTAATTAATAATATTAATGTGATGAAAGTTGACATCAACACATGTTTTCAATTTTTGATGTCATCTTTCAATTGACGACTCTGTATGAAACAAAACAGGGAGAAAAAAATAGCCCTTGCTGAGTTTCTTGTAGGTTCTTCTCAGTACAAGGTCTCCCGCCGTAGATTTACGAACCGATGGCGTAGCGTTTGACTTTCACAAGAGCTTGTAACAGCCTAGACTGAATAAATGACTTTGAGTTTAAGATTCCTATTAATTATGAAGATTCGGATATTTGGCAAATTGGTCTTCTCAATTGATAATGTAGTACAAATTATTATTTGTAATTCAAAAAATTCAAAATTCAATATCGTTTATTCATTCTAGGCTGTTACAAGCACTTGTGAATGTCGAAAAGCTACGCCATCGGTTCGCAAATCTACGGCGGGAGACCTTGTACTGAGAAGAACCGGCAAGAAACTCAGCAAGGGCTGTTTTTTTCTCCCTGTATTATATACAGAGTTGTCAATTTGAAAAATGACTTCAATATGAGATAACTCATGAACTCACTTTCCATTACAAATGTAAATGATAAAACAATTATGACTATAAAATAAAAAATATAAAAAACAGATTTAAAAATAAAAAAAGTTTAGGAATGCCGTGTCCTACTGTTTAGGCATAAAAA